GCGATGGAGCAGGAAAGAGGGACAGAGAGAGACGCGGAGGGGGCAGGAGGAGGGGGAGAGACTGAGAAAAAGAGGGAGATTGAGAATGAGAGACAGAGACGGAGGCGGAGACAGAGACGGAGGCAGAGACAGAGAGAGATGATCCAAAGAGAGACACAGAGAGAAAAAGATGGAGGGAGAGACACATGAGACAGACGGATGGACAGACACACAGACGTCCAAAACAGGAAGGGACACGGAGAGAGAGAGACGGAGGGAGGAAGTGGGGGAGAGAGGAGGAGGAGAAGGAGGAAGAAGGGGCGGAAGAGAAGTGAAGAGACCCAGGAAAGAGACACAGAGGCACAAAGAGAAACTGGCAGAGGAAGCCAGATCCCGGGAAAGACAGGGAGTCAGGAAGGGAGGGGTCTGGGGGCCCCTCCCCCGCCCGGGTCAGGCCGGGTCCTCCCGGTGGCCTCTGCCGAGCCATGGCTAATGGTATGATTGCTTGGCGGGGCGGCAGGCAGCGGGTGACAAATGAGCCGGCCGAGTCGCCAGCTCCGGTGATGGATGGCCTGGGAGGCATGTGGAGGGGCGGGAGCGGGATGGGGGGATCCCACCAAGATAAATATTTCCTCCTCCTGGAGCCGGGCCAGGCAGGAGAGGGGGGCTGGGGACGGGGGCGATGCGTTCCTGAGAGGCCTGGGCAGCGGGGAAGGGGAGCGAGGGGCAGAGACCAGGCAGCAGGCAGCAACCAGGCACAGGCGGGGGTGGGGCGTGGGGGGACACAAAGGCCTGGAGACAGGGGTCCCCAGAGATGGAGTGGGGGAGGGGGAGGGAGGGAGACGGAGAGCTAGAGTGAGAGAGAGAGATGAGGTATGGAGACAGAGACACACGCAGAGACAGAGGTAGAGAGAAAAAGACTTGAGCAACACAGGAGACAGACAGTCAAGGAGACAGACACAGAGCCGGGACAGAAAGCGAGACCTAGAAGGCCCCTCCCCCGGATCCTCCTGAGCCCAGATACAGATCCTTGGAGAGTCCTAGAGGGAGGGAGGGAGGACAGAGGGAGGGTGACGCAGAGCCGATGATAAAGAGGGGAAACCGAGGCAGGAGCCCATGGCGGGGGGAGGGGGAGAGACAGAGAGACACCAGGGGCCCTGAGCAACTCCTCACTCAGCTCCAGAGCCTCTGAGAGCAGATCCTGGGGGTCCCTGGGGGTGGGGGGACTGAAGTGAGCAAGAGGGTCCTGCCCAGGCCACCGAGAGATCCACGGCCACCCGGCGGGGGGCGGGGCGCCTGTGCTGGAAGACCCAGGAGGTTCCCCAATGCATTCATGGAGGGCTCACTGGGGTAGGTGTGGATGGGGCCTTCCTATCTACACGGGGCACGGCAGGCTGGCGGGTGAGGCCCTTCCCAGGGCCAGGGCTCGTCTGGGAGTCCCACACGGGCACCCAGGGGCCCCAGCGCCATCCTCACAGATGCAGCGCCCCTGGGGTCAGCCTGCACCGGACACAGACCTGGACCCCATCTGCTCCCTCCCCTAGGACCCAGGGGTCTGAGGGTCCCAGGACCATTTGTCTAAGAGAGGCGGCTCAGCCGAGGGGGCCCAGGGCCAGAGAGAGGTGGGACTATGTGTGGGTCACACAGACAGACGGGTGCGGGGAGAAAGCGGCTGCCCCCCCCACCCCGCCTCCTCCTCCCTCCAGCCCCTCGCCTTCCCGTCCATTTTTCTCCCAGACGCTCTGATTTTTTTTTCCCTTTCCAATGTCTTGCTCCTCTCTTTAATTAAAAAGATTTATGCCCCAGAGTCTAAGCCCCTCCTCCCCCTTGTTTTGGGGGCCGGAGGGGCCTTCTGCGCCCAGAGAGCAGTGGGAGGAACAGCTCACTCTCCTCCCAGGCACATCCCCCCCCGCCCCCCGTGGCCTCCCCAGACCCCCACCCACTTAAGACACAGTCACCTCTGTCCCTCTGCCCACTCACCCCTCACTGGGACTGCCACCCAGGCCACACTTGTTGTTTCCAGAAGCAGCTTGGGTGAGGGGACCTCAGCGCACCCCCCAGAACACAGAGTGAGGCTGGGGGCCCAGACCCCTGGCCCCCCACCCCGAACCTCAGCTGAGGGCCTTGGTAGGGGGCACACACAGGAGAGCTTTGCATCTTTAATTAAAAAGTGATTTAAATTAATTTTCTGCTCCAAAACCCCTATCTGGGAGGCGGGGTGCCTGTGGCAGTGATTAAAGGACCCCCTTCCCTTCCGCCTTCCTTAAAGGGCCAGCGTCATCGGCGGGACCGTTGCGGACAAGAGCTTCTGGGGGAGCGCCAAGCTCCTCCCGAGTCCTGGCACCCCCTGGTGTAACTGGTTCTTCCTCATCCCCGCAACCCAGGCCATTGCTCATCCAGCAGGTGGGGAGACTGAGGCTCAGAGAGGGGGGACCTGTCCTAGGCGCCCCCCCACCCGCTTGCCCTCTCCCGCTGGGCGTTGCTTCTGCCCTAACCCCAACCCCTCGGGCTGTGCCTCCTGCCGTCCCACCTCTGCCCCGCCCGGGCGGTTTTGCTTAATTTCCACAGGAGGAGAAGATGAAGGGGGAGCAGGTTGCTGCAGAGGTAGAGCTGTTTATGAGGGTCGTAAAAATATCCTTAGAGAGCCCAGCAGGGGTGGCGCGCTGCCTCCAGCCGCCGCTCAGCCTCTACCTGGCTCTGGCTCCCTCTCTCCCTGGTCTCTGTGCCCTTCTCTGGGTCTGTCACCCTCTCTTTGGGTCTCTGTGCCCTCCCCCCAGTTTCTGTTCTCTTCTCCCTGGATCATTGTCTGGCTTCTCCTTGGCATTATCCTTCTGGAGCGATGGGTTGTAACATTTATTTTGGGGGGGGGGTCAAGTATCCCTTTGTGAAAATATGATGCACACTATGGGCCATCTTCCTCGGGGGGTGGACACATAAGCCCCAAGCCCCACAGGTGTCCTGAAGCATATTTGCACACACCCGCCCCCCCCCTAGGAATCCAAGGGCACCAGAGGGGAAGGACCCTTAGCATAGAAAAGGCCAGCAAGGGAAGGAATCCCAGCCTCCCTTCTCCCCCCACCCTCTCCTGCCCTTGCAGCCTCCTAGCACATGGGCACATTCCTGCCCCAGGGCCTTTGCACATGCTGTTCCCCTAACTGGAATGATCTGACCACGGGTCTGCAAGGTTCCCTCATCCTCTTCAGGCCTCTGTTCAGACGTCACCTCCTGCGAGGACTTTCCCTGTCCAGCTTCTACACATCACTCTCCCTGTCCTGACTCTGCTTTGAGTCAGGGCACTTTTCACCTCCAAGCATCGTTTTATACTTACACCTTTACTGACTTCACTGGTCTCTCTCCCCATCCCATCCCCAACACACCGTGAGGGCCATGAGGCCAGGAAGTTTGTCTTTTGTTCCCTGCTGTACTCCCAGAATACAACCGGTACATAGTAGGTGCTAGGTAAGGCTTTGTTGCTCGACTCTTCACCTCATTAGAACACCAGTTTCGAAGGCTGTGGGGTCCGGCCTCCTCCAGGAACCAGCTGAAAGATGGGGACCTTCCCTCTGGAGTCTGTGTAGCCAGCCAATCACCTGCCCTCAGTTTGGGGGATTCCCCAAACTCCCTGAGACATTCCAGTTTGTGAACCTTCCCACAGGCAGGAGTCAAAGTGCGCAGAGGGTCAGAAGGACGCCTCCAGCAGCGGGGACAGCGTCACACACCCGTGCTGACCCCGAGTCCAAGGCTCAGACGTTGTGTATGCACAAACTCGGGCACCCCCGCCCCCCGACACTCACCCCACGGTCAGAAACAACGCACCCGCTCACCCTGCAAACACATTCACACCCAGGCATGGTCAGCCAGCCAGATGCACCGGCGCAGCTGGACACACACACAGGTGGCTTCATACACAGGTGTAGGGGTGTCCTTGTCCCCCCAGGAGAGGGTAGTTAGGGGGGCAGAACAAGAAGAGAACTAAAATGGGGGGCTTGGTTACTTGCAGCCTCTGGCTCTCTCCTCTCCGGTCTCACAGCCGAGAGGGAGGACAGAGAGAGGCTGAGGGGGAGGCCGACGGCGCAGGGGGCCCGCGGGAGGTGGGGGCGGGCGGGGCGGAGAGCGACAGAGGTGTGTGGGGCAGAGACGGGAGAGCGAGACAGAGACAGAGACAAAGGGAAAGAAACGGAGAGAGACTCGATGCAGAAAAAAGAGAGAGAGAGACGGAAAAGGGCGTAGAGCGCGGAGGAAGGGGGCGGGGGACCGAGGGACAGAGACCTGTGGCCGCCGAGGGGGAGGCGGAGGCGGAGGCGGAGGCGGAGAAGACCGCGCGGGGTGGGAGGAGGGAGAGGGCGGCGGGAGTGGTGGCGAGATGAGACTCCCGGAGACTCGGATACAAAAGCAGCCCCCACCGCGCGCGGGGCAGGGCGGGGGCGGGGCTCCGGGCGGGGGCGGGGCGGGGGCTCCGAGGCGGCCGCCCCGCCCACCCCCGCGCCCCGGCGGACAGCGGGTTAAGCATCTCCGATGTGGAACTTCCGGATGTGACCGCAGAGAGAGGGAGAGACCGGGAAGGGGGAGCGAGGCCGCCGGGCCGCCAGCATCCCCCGGGCCGCGCTCGCCGGACCCGCACCGCGCGGGCGCCCCCCGCCGCGTCGCCCCGGGCCGGGCCGCCGCCCCACCCCCACCCCACCCTCGTCTCCCCGTCTGTTTGTCTCGGGCTGGTTCCGTTCTCCCCGGACCGGGAGGGGACTGGGGGCCCCGGGGAGGGGGCCTCGGGCGGCCCTCCGCGCCGTCTCGCCCCTTCCCTCGCCGGCATGAGCCCCCGGCCGTGACCCCCGCGGGGGGAGGGGCCGGGGGTCCATGCTCGCAGCCTCCGCACCGCCCGGCGCCTGCCGCTGACGGCGGCGGGGGTGGGGGGGCCGGGCACCCAGCCTCCTGCCCCACCCCCTGGCGTCGGCCTGGGGCCGTCGGGGGCCGCTGCCCCCGGCTGCGCCCTGCCCGCCGGCCAGGCCCTGGAGGGACCCAGGAGCTGCCGCCGGCATCAGCCCATGGCCCGGAGGGTAGGTCTGAGGGCGGGCCCCCTGCGCCCCAACCCGCTTCCGCCGCCCCAGCCCTCCACCCCCACCCCCACCCCCACCCCCACCTGGGCGCCCGGGTCCCGGCCAGCCCATCCCGCCTTCCCACCTTCCCCCTCTGCCTCCCTCTGCCTGCCCCTGGGTTCCCCCGCTCTGGCCCTCCATCTCCTCCTCCACCGCAGGCCTGTATCTTACCCCTCTACTTCCTTTTCTGCCCCCCCCCCCGCCCTTTTCCCTGCTCTACTTTTGTTCCAAGTCCTCCGGGGGTTCCGGGTGGGGACGGTGCTGGGAGAGGTGGGTCTCACCAGGCAGGGCCCCTCTGCCCTGGGGCTGGGCCGGGTCGGAGAAGACAGGTTCGGAGGGAAGCAGGCACCTCGCGGGGGTGAAGGGGGGCAGAAGCAGCGAGATGCGAGGACCCCACCGACATCACAGGGTGTGCGGTGAGCAGCCAGGAGCGGTCGAAGGCAACTTCAGGGCTCAGGAGAAGTTAGGAGAAGAGGCAGTGAGCGAGGAGAGAAGCAGAGGCACACAGAGCCCGCGCGTCCGCGGGGCTGGGGCGGACCGTGGCGGGAAGTCTGCGCTCCTCGTTTATCCCTTTTCCTCTTCAAGCCTCAGTTTCCTCATCTCCAAGGGAACGGTTTGACCGAGGCGATTTAAGGTCCCCAGGCTTCCCCAGCGCCCGAGTTTCTGCCACGGCGGGACACAGAAACCTCGCCCGGAGGCCCGTGGTTTCTCTCAGGGACTGTTTGCCAAAAGTGGGCTTGTGCGGTTGTGGCTTTTTTTTTTTTCTTCTTCGTTCAACAAGAGTTTATTGAATGTGTGCCAGGCACTGTGCTAAATGCCTCATTCATTCATTTTATTCATGTATGTGCTAAATGCCTCGTTCATTTGTTCACTCACTCATTCATCCCTGTGCCTGATGGTTGGCTCTGGGGTGCGCGTGTGGGTTGGATTCACATGGTGAGGGGGACGCGGCACGTTGTGCACATTTGAGAACCGAAGTGAAATCGAAGGCGGGGAGACGGTGCATGTACATTTGTGTACAAACAATGCGTTGGTTTTATGGGAAGTGTCTGTGGGTGAAAATCGCTCTCTCCTGTCTCCCTGCCTCTGTCTCCTTTATCTTCTCTCTGACGGGCCCTCGCTCCTCTCTCCTCTCTTTGCAGCTCTCTGTCTCCTGTCTCCTTCTCTCGTTGCCTTTCTTCCCATCGCTTTCGCCATTCCTCTCTCTCTCCCCCGACCTGGCTTTCTCCCCTTTCCCTCCCCTCCTCATTCTGTGAGATACCAGCCAGCTGATCCCTGACCCTCAGAGCGGGACCTGGGTCTGTCTGTCCTCTGGACCTTCCTGCCCACACCTCAGGAATCTCTGATGGGACGTATGCCACGGGGCAGGGGGACAAGAGAAGGCTGTGGGACAGGGCCCTCAGTCCCGCAGAGCTCCATGGGACATGGCGGGGGTCTGAGGGGCATGGCTGGGGCACTTGGGGGGCAGAAGGGCAGGTTCCTGTGGCAGAGAGAGGGAGCCTGTCGGATCGCAGCTGGTGCTGAAGCCTCCCTGGGGCTCTCCCCCTCTTGCTTCCCCCCAGTACAATGAGCTGCCCCACTACCCAGGCATTGCGGACGGCACCGCAGCCCTGGCTGGCTTCTCGGAGGCAGTGCCTCCAGCACAGAGAGCCCCTGGGCCCTACGGCCCCCACCGGCCCCCACAGCCGCCGCCCCCAGGCTTGGACAGCGATGGCCTGAAGAGGGAGAAGGATGAGATCTATGGGTGAGTGGGGACAGGGCCGAGGCTCCGTGGGGTCTCAGAGCGCGGGCCTCTCTCTCTGTTTCTTGGTCTCTCTAGGCCTCTTTCTCTTTCTCGGACTCTGTCCCTACTCTGTGTCTGTCTTCCCAACTCTTCCCTCTGGGTCTCCTGTCCCCTCCCGGTTGCTCCCTGTTTCAAAGACCCCCTGCCCACCCCTCATGAACCCTCTGCGCCCGCTCTCTGCAGACACCCGCTCTTCCCGCTGCTGGCCCTGGTCTTTGAGAAGTGTGAGCTGGCCACCTGCTCGCCCCGGGATGGCGCTGGGCTGGGCGCACCCCTGGGCAGCGACGTCTGCTCGTCCGATTCCTTCAATGAGGACATTGCAGCCTTTGCCAAGCAGGTGGGCTCCCCTGGGCTCCACACAGCAGGACAGCGGGGAGGAGGGCAGGCAGGAGACAGGATGTGCCCTCCTTGGCCTCTTTCCTCCCAGGTCCGCTCCGAGAGGCCCCTCTTCTCCTCCAACCCAGAGCTGGACAATCTGGTGAGACCTGGGCCCCCCACGACGGCTCCTCCTGTATGGGAGTCTCCTGTCCTGCTCTCCATAGCCTTGGGGCTGGTTGGGGGACCCATGTTCTCAAACAATGGTAACTGTTATCCATGTGCAATACAGTGTAGCCTAGAGTTTGAAAATGCAGACCAGTAGCCCGAGTTCAAATCCCAGTTCTGCCACATCCTAGCTCTCTGAACCCAGGACATCTCCCTGTGTCTCAGTTTCCTCATCTGTAAAGTGTAACTAGTAGTAATTTCTATCTTGTAGGACTGTTGTGCGGATTTAATGAGTTAACAAGAGTCAAGTGCTTAGAACAGTGCCTGGCATGGGCTCAATAAGCATTAGCTGTTGTACCAGGAGAACAGAGCTCATGTGCGCGCAGGGACTTAGCTGCAAAGGAGAGAGGAGAGGAAAGAAAGAGAAGCGGGGAGAGGGAAAGCGAGGGAGGAATGCCCTGGCTTCTTTCCTTTTCCAGCTCCCTCCAGGGTTTCCTATTGGCTGAACTTTTGGCTGAACTTTGGCAAAGTCCTCTGGGAAATGTAGTTTGCAGGTGAAGGGTGGGAAACGGAGCAGAGGGCAAGCAGGCAAAGGAGAGGCATTGTAGTTTTCTTGTGTTCATTCTCTTTTCTGTCTCTCGCACCTCTTGCTTCTCTGTCTTTGTCTCTGACAATCTAACACTCTCTTCCCGGAATTCTGGGACTCCATCTCGGATCTTTATTTCTCTCTGTCCCTATCTCTTTGTCTTTGTGTCTCTCTGTCCTTGTCATTCTCTGTATCTCACTGTTTCTGTTCCTCTGTCTCTTCTCTTCCCTCCTTTCCCCTCCTCCTCCTCTTCCTTCTTCTCTCTTTTCCTCTGCCTCTCTCCCTCTCTCCCCTCTTCCTGTCCCTGTTTTCAGATGATCCAGGCCATTCAGGTGCTCCGGTTCCACCTGCTGGAGCTGGAGAAGGTGAGTGCTTCTCACTCTGCCCACACCCTCTCTTGTCCCTGCAACCCTCCCCTCGCCCCCCTCCACCCCGCTCAGGCTCTCTCCACACTGGAGATGGAGCAGAATGCCACCCCCGCCCCCGTACACCCCAGCCCTGGCCCCCGGGTGGCCCCCCCAGTACCCCGGTGCCCCCTCAGGTCCACGACCTGTGCGACAACTTCTGTCACCGCTACATCACCTGCCTCAAGGGAAAGATGCCCATCGACCTGGTCATCGAGGATCGGGATGGCGGCTGCAGGGAGGACCTCGAGGACTACCCAGCCTCCTGCCCCAGCATCCCAGACCAGGTGGGCCCAGGAAGGGGTACCCGGCATCACCCTGCAACCAAAGCCACTCCGGACAGCCGGGTTGCAGCCCGAGGAGACACACAGTGCACACACACGTGCACCCTGACAGCGGAAGACACCAGCATAGACTCAGCTGCACCCACACAGGTTCACACACAGCTGCGCACACTCAGTGGCAGCCTTTCTCACTCTCGGTCAGCTGACAGCACACGCCACACACTTACACACACACAGCCCAGCGTCAGAGACACACAGCCCGATTGAGACACCATCATACTAGATGTGTGTGTGAGACACACACAACAACCACACAGATGGAGACTGAGCCAGCTCGCCCCAGATCCTGCCACACAAGTCAGACACAACCACACTTGCACCCAGGCTGGCCCCAGTGCCTGCCTGCTCGCGCGCGCGCGCCGTCCTAACCGCCTAACAGCCTGACCACAGCGGGTGTGCGCGTGTACCGTGCCCCTCAGTCTCAGATACGGTCCGACTGCAGTCTCGTCAATAACCACGCAACAGCCCAGCTGCACGGATCTCAACAAGGGCCACACCCTCAAGACTGTCACCCTGTCAACACCCCCAGCAGTTCACCCTCGCCCAGATAGGGCCACACCGCCATACCCCAGCTAGACTCAGGCGCATCGCACTCTACCATCCCAGATGGGTGCTCAGACCCTTGGCCCGCAACCCATCCTCTGCTGCCACTCAGCGAGAGCCGCATGTGTGGGACAATTGGTTACAATTCACGTGGAGACATAGCCATATTCCTTGTCTTCACACAGCCTCCGATTCACTCCCTTGGCTGTCGGCCACCAGGTCGCGGAGCCACCCGCCCACTTGTGCAGGAATCCGGACAGCCACACGCTGGCTCACAAATAGGACAGCCAACCCCTTGACCTACAGCCACAAAGTCTGTGATAGTCCGCTCCAGCTCCCTGGCCATCTCAGAGAGTGACAGCCACGTTCCAAACACAGTCAGTGTGCGTCTCAGCCCCGCCCGTGTAGCCACCAGGCACAGCCACCTCCTCTTCAGGGATAACCGTGCCATCTCGGGCACAGGCGTAGGCTCATGCTACGGGCCACGTGACAGTCTGAGGGCGGCTTCAGGCACACCGCTGTGGAGGCTCCCCCCAGCGTTCGACTGGACCCAGCGCTGGGACAGCTACAGGTCGCAGTTCCACCTGTGCGCAAAAGCCTTCGGACCTGAGGGCGCTGCCGCTTGCACACAAGCCGCCCCGTGCGCTCAGCCCCACGATTCCACACAGATGTCCCGAGCCTGGGGGAGGCTTCGCCCGGCTGCTGTGTCTCGGGTGTGCCCCAGCAGGGCACAGATGGCGGGTCCTGTGGGAAGGGACTGTTTACAAAGCAGCGGGCGGGGTCTGGGGTACTCAGTGAGGCAGGCGGGGCACCCCAAGGTTCGGGAGGCCGTTTCCACACCCCCCCCACACCCAGCCTGCCTCCCAGCATCAAACCGAACCTTAAGCCGAATGACAAGTCTTGGCGCTGTCTATTCGGGTGGGTTGGCCTCCGGGGACACAGAGCTGGGGCAGAGGGGGTGACCGTCACAGCGTCCCGTTCCTCCAGGCATGTGGATAAAGGGCACACAGTCCCAGGCTCCCTGGTCCTTAGCTTTAGACCCCCAAGTGGCTCAAAACTGAAGGTTGTTTTCTCCCCGCCATAAGTTTAGTACCAACTCATTTGGCAGCAAAACCTGACCTGAACAAATGAGAGGGCTATTTATAGCGTTTATTTATTCCACTTAGTTACATATTCATCCATTTTGCGGCAGAAACGCTAATGAGCTTGATGGCGCGGTCAGGCCAGGCCCTGCCGGGGGAGTCACGAAGTGCAGTGTGCGCTGACTGCCTGTGAAAACGTGACAAGTCCTGGGTCCTGGAACCTCCAGCCCCCAAGGGTTTCAGATAAGGCGCCATAGGTCTCTGTAAATTTGTCTTTATTAAGTGATTGTGCCTTTTTGTAAACCCTCTCATTGAGTCATCACGCTCTGCGAGATGGGGACCATGACGGTCCTCCAGTATCCAGTTGAGGAAACTGAGGCACAGAGAGGCAAAGCGACTTGCCCGAGGTCCCACGGCCAGAAGAGAGGCAGGGACAGGCTCTCCACCCGGGAGTCCCAGCTCCAGGGCCCATGGTCTTAGCTACTGTGCTGTACTGTATCCCAGGCCTTGGCACTGACCTACAGCTCTTGTTTTCCAGAATACTACATGGATTAGAGACCATGAAGACAGCGGATCTGTACACCTGGGGACCCCGGGTCCATCCAGCGGGGGCCTGGCCTCCCAGAGTGGGGACAACTCCAGTGACCAAGGTGGGAAGCTGGGGGGAGTAGAAGGGAAATGTTGGAGTCAACCAGAAGATTTAAGTTAGACAGCAAGTAGGACTTCCAAGGGAGCACGTACGGCCAGGGTGCGGAGCAGTTGTCTCGGGTGAGGGTTCTGGCTCTGTCTGGTTTTCCGCCCTCACTGTCACAAACACAGTGCGCCACTCCGCCTCCAGGAGACGGGCTGGACACAAGCGCGGCCTCTCCCAGCTCTGGGGGCGAGGACGAGGAGCTGGACCAGGAGCGGCGGCGGAACAAGAAAAGGGGCATCTTCCCCAAGGTGGCCACTAACATCATGCGAGCCTGGTTGTTCCAGCACCTCTCGGTGAGCGCATCGCCCTGGGGGCTGGGTGGGCGCACGGAGACTGAGGCCCAGAGCGACCCAGAGAAGGGAGACTGAGGCAGGAAGGATATTGAGGGGGAATTTCATGGGGAGAGAGGGACTGGCCAGAAAAAATGTCCTGAGCGCTACCTGTGTGCCGGGTGCTGCCACAGGCTCTCGACTCCTTCAATTTTCCCCCAACCCACCCGCCCGCCCATCGTCCACGGACATAGTGTGTGAGGGCGGCGCTGCACTATCTCTGTTCTGCGGAGGAGGACAGTGAGGCCCAGAGGTCTCGGGAGGGTTGCGTTAGAGCAAGATAGAGACAAGGAGAGACTGAGTCACAGGGATGGGGTGGAGGCTGGGGGGGTAAGGGAGGGGAGGGAAGGAGAGAGAATCTGAGAGAAAGAAAGAAATTGGGACCAGGAGAGACGTACACAGGGTCCTGACAGAGACTCAGAGAGGCTGGTGGCTGGGTTTGCTTCCTTTCCTGGCAATGGAGCCCTGTCCCCAAGCTCGTCTTTCCCGAATGAGAGCTGGCCAATTAGCCTCTAATTGCTGGAAGAGGCGGGGGCGCCCACAGGCGTAATTGCCCGAAGCTTCGCTCTGCTTCCCTCTGTTGGGCCCCGGGGAGCACCGAGCAGCTCTGCTGGCGGTGCTGGCTCTTCCGGCCCCGGCCCCAGCCTGGGCGCGCCATCCTCGGGGACCGGGCGGGCCAGGCCTTGGGATCGGATGGGGGTCCAGCAGGCAGGGTGACTCCTGCTGATGGCCACAGCACCCGTACCCCTCGGAGGAGCAGAAGAAGCAGCTGGCGCAGGACACGGGGCTCACCATCCTGCAAGTCAACAACTGGTGAGGGGCCCCGCAGGCCTGGGCGGTGCTGGGGCGCGGGGGTGGGAGGCCGGGCGCTGTCCGCGGTGCTGAAGGAGGCCGCCAGGCCCGCGGAGACTCTCCGCCCCGTCCCGGGCCTCTCTGTCCATCTCCGCCTCTCTGCTACGCCCTCTCTACACTCTCCTCCGTTTCCCTGACCCCCTCCCAGGTTCATTAACGCCCGGAGACGCATCGTGCAACCGATGATAGATCAATCCAACCGCACAGGTACAGGGAGGAGGCGGGGAGAGAGGGCCCAGGACTCCTGGCAGAGCGTCAAAGCGGAGCCAGGCATCCTGGGGCTCAGGCCGCACCCCGCAACCCCCCTCGCAGGGCAGGGAGCCGCCTTCAGCCCGGAGGGCCAGCCCATGGCAGGCTACACGGAGACACAGCCACACGTGACTGTCAGGCCCGCAGGTAAGGCCCCGCCCATTAACTAAGCCACGCCCCCAGCATGCCAGGCCCTTCCTCTAAGGGAAGATGCCCCACCTTCTGGGATTCTGTTCCAGAATAATGAATACAGTGCCTTGTTTGCATAACCGGGGAGAGATTTCCAGGTGCCCAGCTTTTCCTCACAGACTTTGCTTCCTCCAGGCTCTGCCTACCCATGGGAAGGCCCCGCTTTTCCTTAAATGACCAGCACCCTCGTAAACGATGGCTCAGCCTGGCCTAATAGAGGGATCCCCTGAGACGCAAAGGGGCGGGAGGGCCTCCGGGACATAGCGGGGTGTCTGGGGAAGACCCGCTGACCCTCCTCTCTCGTCTCCCAGGATCGATGGGGATGAGTTTGAACCTAGAAGGGGAGTGGCATTATCTATAGAGGCTGAGTCAGGAGAAGGGTGAGTGTCCGGTGTCGGGGGGCGCCGGCTGGGGCTGTGCAGCCCCCACGCCTGTGTAAGATCTCTGGGCGCCCAGAGCAGGGGCAGCGTCGCTCCCTGAGCGGAGCGTGCTGCGAGGCTCGGTGGGAAGATGATTCATTCCCTTAACCATCCATCCGTCTGTCCGTCCGTCCATCTGTACACACACACATGCCCTGACATGCCTCAGGCAGGGTCCTCCCTGGAGAAGATTCTGGGCCTGTGGGGAAGTGAACGTCAGAAACTAGGGCAACAGTTGAAACAATAAAACTCAGGCTGCTCAGAGCGGGGAGCCATCGGGGTGCATCTCAGGGAAGGCTGAGATATAAGGGAAGCTTTCAGGGAGGCCGTGGCTTCTGGGTGGGGCACTGAAGGATGGCTAGGAGTCCGTCCACCAGCTAGAAGTTAGGAGCAAACTAATAGGGTAGATTCTTCTTCTGGGTCTTAAGATTTTAGAGTATCTTCTTATTTAGTCTTCACAACAACCCCAAGGGGGAGAAGCTATTAGAATTTTCACTTTGCAGATGAGAAAACTGAGGCTCAGAGAGAAGAGGTCAGTTGCGCAGGTGTAGTCAGTTCATAAAAGTAAAGGGAACAGCATGTGCAAAAGCCAAGAGCTGAGAGGCTGCCTGGAGTTTCTAAAGCATAGATCAGATCTTTACCCTCCCTGGATTAAAACCTCCCTAGCGCCCTCTGATGGCATCGAAACTCCTTAATTCAGCATGTTTGTTCGTTCGTTCATTCATTCAGTGCACATTCTCAGGGCACCTCTCTGCCTGGGCCTGTGCTGGGGGGCGCTGGGACACGGCAGTCACTGTGACAGGGGCAGACCTGTCCCAGACAGTGATGACCCAGAGTCGGCAGGGCTGGAATGAGGGAACCCAAGAACCGGAGGAGCCCAGAGAAGACATCAGACTCGGGATGGGGAGTTCAGGGAGGACTTCCTGGAGGAGGGGACTTTGGAGCTGAGACCAGGAAAATAGGAGAAGTGAGGCAAGGGAGGAGGGAACAGCATATGCAAAGGCCCAGAGCACCTAGAAACCTCATGGCTATGAATTAGCCCCTCCGCAACCCCCACACACGAGGGAGAGCGGGGGCTGAGCGGGGCTGGGGCTCATGAGTCAGGTGTGAGCAATAAATTCAGCGCCAACAGAAAGGCTGGGCGATGAGCGTGGAGACCCGGGAGGGCTTCGGCGTGGAGGGGCAGTGGAGGCCTGAGCCTGGGAAGGAGAGGTGGGCGGGTTCATTCAGAGCCACGCTGGTCAGTGGGGATCTCCGCTCTGCTCTGACCAGTCCGGACAGGGCTGGCCTGGTCGGAGTGTCCTCTGGGATCAGGAGCGATGAAGGGGGCTTCCCATCCTGCTTCCCCAGGGGGCTCTCTTCTGTCTGCGTTTTCAGTCTCTGACCGCCCCCAACTCTTGTCTTTTTCTGTCTCCCTCTCTCCTTGTCTTTCTTTGTCTTAAGTCTCTCTCTATTCATCTCTGCCTCCATTTTGTTCTAACCCTTCGTCTCCCTCTTTCTCTGTCTCCTCTCTGGCTGCGTCCCTCTCACTGTGGGGCCGGGGGCACTGCGCAGGAGGCTGACATGGGGCCAGGCCCTGTCCCCGCCTCCTGACTTGGCCTCTCCTCCCCTCTCTGCAGACTCCTGCCTCCAAACTGTGACCACCAGGCTAACACCTTGTTTTGGTCCCCACCTCTGGCTTCAGGACCCCACCTTCTACGGCCCTCCCACTCAATGCCTACCTCCCTGGGGCCCCACTGGGATGTGGGGGGCCTGAGCGCCCACTCGAGGGTCTCTCAAGGACAAAGACAAAGCTTCTAGGCTCGGCGTCCCACTTCTACCCTCACCTCTGCCCAGAACCTGAGCTGAGATCCTGGGTCGTTGGAAGATGGTGGCGGGGGCCCCACCTCCAGGACAGAGATGGAATTGGGGGTGGGCTGGGGCCATCAGGGGACGAGGGTCACCTGGATCCGATATTTGGGGAGGTTCCCTTCATCCTCCCAACCCACTCCCCTCCTCTCTTCCCCTACCTCCCTACTCTGATGTCATCTTTTTTTTAATGATAAAGTCTTAAAAACAAAAACCCAGCAGTTTGAACTCTAATGTCTCTCCTAAGGTTTACACTCCCATCTATTTGAAGCTTGTAAATCACTCGTTATGATGATAATTAATATTCTTTAACCTGTTCTGTCCTTGGGCACTTGACGTGTATCAGTCAGCTGTTGCTGTGTAACAAACAATCCCTAAATTTTGTGGCACAAAATGCCCACTTTTTTTAGCTCATTATTCTATGGGTTGGTATTTTAAACTAGGCTCAGCTAGGCAGGCCTTGTGGCTTCATCAGGCTCTCGTGTGTCTGTAGCCAGGGACAGGTGAGCAAGGGGGCTCTGCTTCAGAGGGTTGGCTTGCTGGCAGCAGAGGCAACAGGTGTGACTGGACCACGTGGTAACATCGGCCAGCAGGCTTTCGGGTTTGTTCATATAGAGGCTGATTGGACTCTGGGAGCAGAAGGGCCCAAGACCTCTTAAGGCCTCAGCTCAGATCTGACACAAGGTTCTCTCTCAGCCACTTAAAGTCTTGAGGCCAGATTCAAGGGAGGGGAGATAGACTCCGCCCCTCACTGGGTGCAGCTGCAAACTCACATTGCGAGAGAGGTGGATATGGGGAGGGATGAAGAATCGCGGCCCCTTCTGCATCCGTCCCCCACACGGTGATCCCCAGGTTACTTTCTCCACCTGCCCCGCGGGAGACAGGTGGGCTGGGCATGAACAGCCTCATCCACGGAGAGTGGTGCCAACAGACACGGGCTCAGATCCTGTGGTGCCCGTGACTATACTAGCCGTGGTGCCAGGACGAGTGACTTCATCTTTCTGGTCCTCAGTCTCCGCACCTGGAGGGTGGGAATCCCAGCAACACCACCCTCCCGGGTCTGCCGTGCTGGCTGTCGGCGATATGACAAAGGAAATGCCGAGGATGGTCCCTGGCGCGCAGTAAGCGCTCAAAGGCAGGACTTACTGTAACTAGAGAAACCGCAGCTCAGGGCTGACACGGGGCTCTTGGGAAACAGGTGGAGAGCGGAGGAAGCAACCCTGCAACTCAAGGGCGTTCACCTGTCGTTCGTTCATTCATCCAGGCCGCAGGTACTTCCCATACACGCTCTGCCCATCACTTCAGCGCGCAGGCCGGAGACCCCTGCTCTGGGGAGCGCTGACGTCCCGCCCAGCGGGGAGGTGGAGACCTGCGCGGGCCGAGTAAACGGGCGCATCGTTGGGTCTGTTAGACGCTGACGCGCGGTGCGGAGCAGGGGCGGCTTCGGGCCACGCTGATGCATTTGTTTACCGTCACCTAGTGCGCGCTGTGCGCCGGCTCTGTCCTGGGAGCTTCATCCTACCAGCCTGGTAAACCCACCGCCAAGTCCCAGGAGCTGACCCCGTCACGGTCCCCAGTTTCCAGAGGGGAGAAAACGAGGCCCAGCGAAGTGAAGGGGCTCTGGCGGGGTCACACGGAGGGAGAGTATGTGGGTCGCCATTCGAACGCAGGCGGCTGGCAGCTCCGGAGCCGGCGCCCTAACTGCTGCTCGGCGGCCTCTCATTTTAAAAAATGGAATGTTAGCCCCGGCTGGTGTGGCTCAGTGGACTGAGTGCCGGCCTGCGAACCAAAAAATAGAATCTTAGACTCTGATTTTTAAAGGGCCGAACACAAACTAGTTTCTGAGTTAGATATTGTTTTAGTAACTGTTGGTTAGTGTTTCTCTCTCCCCAAACTCCCCAGGACTGAAGTGGGGTGGGTGAGGGATAGACAGCGGGAAGGACTTCCAACGCCTTCCCCCCTTGAAGGCAGGCGGGGACGGATTATGGGGAGGGGGGGCAGGGCTGGACCCAGGCCTGGGGGCTGCTTCGAGGGGAGGCCAGGTGCTCGGGCAACCTCTGCCTGCCTGACGGACGCGCAACCTGGGACCCGGGTCGCTGGCGAGTGGGGGAGGGGCGCTCCCCTCGCCCCTCCTCCCCCACCTCCTCCCGGTGACTGGAAATGCCTCTCACTTAGTTCTCTATAATTATACCAATTGGATGTGCCTCCGGGTGGAGGGAAATTGGGCGGGAGGTTAATTGTAACTAAAAATACCTCCCCCACTTCCTGGGGTGAGGAACCAGTGAGTTCTGGGGCAGCCTGTGAAGCGGGTGGGCGTCGCTCCGTAGGAGGGGCCTGCGGGAAGCGGGGACCCCAGCGGGGACTGCGGGAGGCCTGTGTGCGCTGCGTGGGCAGGGCCAGGCTGTCGGGATCGATGTGTGTGTGTGACCATCGTGTGGCCGCTGTGGCTCCCGCCTTGGGAGGCTGGGGGAGGGCTGTCGGGCCAGCGGGCGCCGCCAGGACTGTGTCCGCAGCCGAGCCTGTTACTGCACGTGGTGTGTGTGTGTGTGTCCCGGAGTAGTGGCTGGGTCCCTGGCTGGCTGTCACATTGTGCCCTGTGTGTCTGTGTGTCTGTGCATAGTCTGTGACTTGGAGACTCTGGGGCGCTGCTGCGTGTGTCTAGGGGGGATAGTGTGGCAGAGCGGGTCTTAATAACTGGGTGCGTCCCGCGTGTGTCCATGGCAGCGTCTCTCTGTGTGGCTTTGTAGCCTCGTGAATTACGAGTCCAGCGATGCGACTGTGGGTCATGCAGCTCAGATGCACCGGAATGTGGGGCAGGGAACGAGCCTGGGCGCCCGCCAGAGGGCGCCGGGGAGCCATGGAAGGTGTTTATTTTGTAACAGCTTTATTGGGATGTAAGTCACAGATCGTAAAATCCACTCATTTGAAGTGCGCCGCACGAAGGCTTTGGAATAGTCAGACTTGTGCGCCTAGCATCACGATCAGCCAAAAAGAAACTTCCTACCCTCAGCAGTCACTCCTCATGTACCCCCAACCCCCAACCCTAGGCAACCACTAATTCACTTTCTGCCTCTAGTGTATTTGCCTGTTTTAGACACTTCATATAAACGGAATTTTACAACATACGGTCTTTTGTATCTGGCTTCCTTCACTTAGCATGTTTTTGAGGTTTGCTCATGTTATAGTGTGAGTCAGTGCTTCGTTCCTTTTTATGGCGAAGAGAATATGTCATTGTCTTGGAGGGATTTTGAGCAGATAAAGGAGCGCCGGTTGCCGTGGCTGGTGTGGTTCAGTGGATTGAGCGTCCGCCTGTGAACCAGAGGGGTTCGTTTCTAGCCAAGCCTGGAGACGACCCCAGGGGTATAGCCTGATGAGCAGCAGGCTGAACGCTGGTCCGCCCCAGGTGGTCCCGGTGATGGAATGAATGAAGGGTGGCCCATAAAAAATGAGAAAGGTCTTGTTAAAAAAAAAAAAAGGCAGCAGAAAGGACTTAGGGACTGGCTGGATGCAGTAGGTAAGAGGGAAGGAAAATCTACAACTGTGCTTGGATTTCTCACTTGAGCAGTTGCCCCATTTCTCTCTGATGTCACCGATGAGTGACTGACAAGCACATCTTGGCTGCCTTTCTTCTGCATTAGAGGTAGTTGTGGCTGCTGTTTGCTGAGCCCCTGGATGTGCTGAGCACAGTTCTAAGCACATGGGTTAATTAATGCGTTGGACACTCTCAACAGCTTTGTGAAGTGGGACTATTATTATCCCCACTTCACAGATGAGGAAACAGGCATATAGAACAGGGCATATAGAACTATTAAAAATAAACAAAGTGACACTCTCTTCCCTGCCTGTGCCCAGCCCTGGACTGTGGTCATGCAAGACACACACACTGGGCACCACCAAAGGCAGCTGAGAGAAATTGAAGATGACTTTAGATACATTTTTTAAAAGGCAAGATATACCATATTCATGGATTCAGAGACTTGGAAGACTCGCTCATGTTGAAATGTCAACTTGTCTGTTCTCCCTAAGTATCTGTGGGGTCAAGACGATCCCAGCTGAAATCCCAGCAGGCTTTTGTAGAAATGGACAAGCTGATTCTGAAATGCATATGGAAATGCACAGGACCTAGATTGGCCGCAACTATTTTGACAAAGAACAAAGCTGGACGCCTTGCACTGCCTGATTTAAGACTTACTATAATGCTGCAGTGATTGGGCCGTGTGGTCCCGGGACAGCTCCAACACATCCATCAAAGGAATAAGCCTGGAAATGGGCCGACGTGGATTAGTCTATTGATTTTCAGTAAAGGTGGCAAATTAATTCAAAGGGGAATGAACGGTCTTTTCGGCAAATGGTGCTGGAACAACCCAACATTAACATGCAGAAAAATGAACCTTGACTCATCTCACACAAAAATTAACTGGCAATGGATCATGGAGTTCAAGGTAAAATCTGACCTATAAACTTCTAGGAAAAAACAGGAGAAAGACATCATGTTAGGGGTGGGCAAAGGCTTCTTAGGACAGAAAAAGGTCAAATAATGAAAATAAAATTTTTTAAATAAAATTAAAAGATAATAAATAAAATAGGTACAACCTAAATATTAAATTAAAAACAATAGGCCCAACTGGTGTGGCTCAGTGGGTTGAGTGCCAGCCTGCAAACCAAAGTCTCGCTAGTTTGATTCCCAGTCAGGGCACAGGCCTGGGTTGTGGGCCAGGTCCCCGGTGGAGGGCGTGTGAGAGGCAACCACACATTGATGCTTATTTCCCTTTCTTTCTCCCTCCCTTCCTCTCTAAAAATAAAATCTATTTAAAAAAAAATAAACAATAGAATAAATATAATAAAAATAATTTTAAGCACTAATAAAGGGAAAATGATAAATTTCATTAAAATTAAAAACTGCTCTGCAAAAGACACTGTTAAGAAAATGAAAAGGAAAGCACAGGCTTGGAGAAAATACATTTCATATATTTGACAAATATATTTATTAAATAAATTACCGTTTCCAATCAGTAAGAAAAACAGCACTTTAAAAGAAGCAAAATATTTCATATAAACTACAGAAAGTACAGTCACACCTCGGTACTCGTCAGCTTCAGAAATCATCAAACCTGGTACGCATTGCATTTTGATGACAAAAAATGTCGCAGCGCTCAGCACCTGCTCGGACTCGCCACGCTTGCTAGAACTTCTATGAGTCATGACACAAGAAACGCTTCATCGTTCGGCACTCATCGGTTTCAGCGCTCGTCACAAGCTTCAGAATGAATTAGGGATGAGTACCGCGGTACTGCCGTGTATAAATGGTTAATAAGCTTATGAGAAAATGCTTGACATTTGACATTATTAGCCATAAAAATGCCATTAAAACCAAAGTAAATATCATTAGGATGGCTGCTGGGGGCTGGTCATGGTTTGTTTCCCGTTCTGGATGCTGGTGGCTCAGGCATGTTTCATTTTCTGGTAAAATTCTCCAAGCCGTTCACTTACGATCAGACCCCTTTTCTGTGTTATGCATCAAAAGCCTTCAGAGACTGTGGAGCGAAGGCACGCACACTTGCATTTTGAAAGACCCTGCTAAATTGCCTTCCAGAGAAGTTGCACCAATCCCCTTCAAGCTGGGTGAAGGTGCCCACTCCCCGCTGACGCAGCATCAGCCCTTTAGCCTGGCCCCGTCCGACGGACGACGGACGGCTCCAGGGGGGTCGTTTCATGCAGCTGCGGGAATGGGGAGGCCACAGCCCCACCTGGAGCTTCTGTGCACCTATCGGGACAGACATGTCTCCGTAATTAACGGATCAGGGCTCCTGGACTGTTGATGGCCATGGAGTTCACCCTTGAGGGGCTGTGACCCCTGGGTCTCAGTTCTGACAGGCGCCCTGGCAGCCGTCTTCTCCCGACAGGCTCCTTCACCCCCACTCCCCCGGGTGGGGTTACTGGGCCAGGCGCCAGAGACGCTTAATGACGGCTCTTTGGTGGACACTGGATGGTTTCCATCTTCAGCACCCCCAGCCCCGCCGCAACGAACATAAAGAACTCTGCTCCTCACCTATAGGACATCCTTTTTATTTTAGGTTCTAACACGGAAAAAGGAGGGGAAGCAAGAGCAGCCCTGGCAGCCACCTGCTCTTAGCTTTGGCTGGACAGGCTGGGGGAGGCTCTGAGGTGGCCGCTCCCTCCACCCATTTATTCCTCTGTTTTTAATTCTTTGGGCTGTGGAACACTGAGGAGAGTGAGATTTGACAACTAAAAGATGGAGAAGTTCTGAGTTCAGTCAGTCACCTTAAAGAAAGCCAAGAGATAAGCCGCAGACTGGAAGAAATGTTTGTAACATCTATGGTGAAGCTTAAGACCCAGAATACACAATGAGCTATTACAAACCCGTAAGAAAATGGCAAAGCACCTAGAAAACACAGAGTCAAACACGGAGCCAGCGCAGGAGAGGGAATGCAAAGGGCCCAGAGTAACAAGCGAAGGTGCTCAGGCTCACTGGCAATCAGGGGAAAGAGAAATAATGTAAATGTCCTGTAGGAAGGACATTTGGGCGAACCTATCAAATGACCTGCACAAACTCACCTTCCCTTGGACCAGTGATTCCACCTCCGGCTTCGTTTGTGGGAACAAAAGGTGAACTGTCTGGTCCTGGCCGGTGTGGCTCAATCGGTTGGAATGTCGTCCCATAACCAAGACACTGGGGGGTTCGATTCCCAGTCAGAGCCCAAACCTGGGGTTTGGGTTTGATCCTGGGTCAGGGCATTTACGGGAGGCAAACGATCTTTGTCTCTCACGTGGATATTTCTCTCTCCCTCCGTGAACCGTCTGCTCACAGAGGCCTTGTTAAATAAATGTGCAGCCACGTAAAGGCCTGCTCTGCAGCCTCACTGAACACAGAGGATCTGTGCCGACTCAGAAAGCCCTCAAATTACCCTCAGGGCAAGTCACGGAGCCACGGGAGGTCTAAGTCCGTTTTGGAAAGTGCACATGTTCTATTTCCATATGCACATGGAATGGAGCCGAGTTCCACCAGGTGCAATGGAAGGGCGCACAACCAAGTTGGACTACGGTCGTCTGGGAGCCCGGGGAGGAGGCGGCTGGCCCAGTCCCTGCGTGGGGGGCCAGGGCCGGGGGGTCTGATCCCAGAGCTGTTTTAAAGGGGCAGCTGACAGGAGAGAGAGGCCAGGGTGACACGGGGCACTTGGGCCCAAGCAGGGGAACGGAGCCGCGCTGTTCCAAGCTGGGGCAGAGGCCTTAGATTTGGGGGAACATGAAGCCCCAAAAGTAAAGCTCAAACATGGTGGTCGTGGGACGGGGTCAGGGGGAGAGAGCCAGAGATCAGTACGTGATGGCAAATGGCTGAGAACGGAGCATCAGCTGCAGACTGGCGCAGTGCGAAGGGGCTGCCCCCAGGAGCCCGAGCGGCTTTGTGTCACACCCGAGACGCCTGTGAGATGCTGAGTGTCGAGCGTTGGTGCCAAGGAGGCGGCCGGCCGGGGGCGGGGGCTCAGGGCAGGCGGTCAGGGCCGGGAGCGGCCCGGCGGCCAGGCGTCAGCAGGCAGCCCAGGGCGGTATGAGCTCACTCGGAGGCGAGTGCGGACGGAGGGAGGCAAGGGCAGGGCGCAGCGGAGGAGGAGTGTGGCGCCCAGGCATGGCTGCCAGGGCAGGGGAGACACCTGCCGCAGGGGTGCGCCTGGGCCGAGGCAGGAGGCCCCTCAGGGACAGGGAGGCATGGCCGGGAGTCCCGCGGGGGCGGCTGAGACCGCCCATGGGCCCCACAGCAGGGTCCTGTCGTGCAGCCCGTGGTCCCACGCGGACACTGACACCCCCTCCTCGCCGCCTCTTAAAGTGACACACGTGGACAGGCCAGCGCAGGGTCTCCCTCGTTCAAGGGAAAGCAGAGGCTGTGAGCACACACTCCGGCAAGGGCAGGGGCGCCAAGATCCTGCCTCGAGATCTGAAGTCCCTGCTCGGCCATCGGTGTCCCAGGGCCCCTCGGCCAGCGGGAGAGCGAGACCATGGGGCGGGCCAACAGGGCGCTGCTGCCCTCTGGGCGGGCGGGCGCAGGCTCATACCCTCCCCCATGGGGGAGGAAGCGGGGAGTAGCCCAGGGCCCCGCCCTCACACGTGCTGCCGCCGGTGCCGCAGCACCTCGGTGGGCGTGAACAGGAAGTCTTTCTGACAGGCCTCGCAGTGATAAGGCCTCTGCAGGGCCGAAGTCTTCTGCTGGGGCTCCGGGGTGGCTTCCTCAGCCCCTAAGGAAGAGTGGACGGGAGGCTGAGGGGGGCGCTCCCCTGCAGGCTCGCACCCCCATCCAAATCCAGGTCACCCGAGGGACTCAGGCTCTCCTGGCCTTTAGGGGAAATCTGGCTCTGCCTACTCCAGGAAGCCTTTCTTGACTAATACACGCACACAGAGGAAAGTCTTTAGTCTGTGTCTGGGGGGAGAGACAGAGACTGCCCAAGGGTGGGGTCTCCCCGCTGCATCACCCCCTGGCTAACAACACAGTGGACACGGCCAAGGTGACGGCTGTGGACAGAAAAGAACAAGGGACACAGCCACAGAGGGACAGAGGGACAGAGAGACAGACAGAAACACAGAAGCGGATCACAGACAGACCAAAGAGAGAGACAGAAAGATGGAACTGAGAAAGCGGTGGCCCTCCAGACCCTCCCCAACCCAGGCTTGGGTTCTCCGTGACAAAAGCCTGTAGGTGGCACCAGCCAGGACCAGAGGGTTGCGAGTGTCAGTCCCCAGAATGTCCGGCGAATGCTCTGATGCCAGGGAACCACCACGGGACGGACAGACGGCCAGGCGGGCACAGATGCCCCCGAGCCACGTCCTTACCTGCAGGGCCGTCCCGCGGGGCCTCGGGGCAGCTGTTCTCGTGGGCGATGCGCTCCAGGGGCGTGAGGGGCATGTGCAGGCCGCAGTGGGGGCAGGTCCAGAAGGCGCGGAGGCAGTCGCTGTACAGGTCTGCGTCGCTCTGCGGCGGGCAGGCCGGGTCAGGGCTCTGTCCCCGGGCCGGCCCCCGCAGCCTGCCTGGACCCCTTCCGAGAACCCGCAGCGCTGGCCCGCCCCGTTCCACAACTGTGTCCCTGGACTAGGCTGAAACACGGTTGGGGGCTCCCAATGATCCCATCTCCAGGGGCAGGGGCGTGAGGGGACAAGGGGGATCCATGCTCACCGTGAGGCAGTTGTAGGTGAGGAAGTCAGTGACTGCGTAGCCCCCTTTGGTGGGGTGGGGGGAGAGGGTAGAGCTGCCAAAGAGGCCGGGGAGACTGGGGGCAGTTGTGATGGTCTGGGGTCCCACATAGAGGTTCTGGGCTTCCAGCCCCGTGAGCCGCCGGAAGCTGTAGGGAACCTCGGGGAAGAGAGACAGCAGCTAGACCCAGGGAGACACTGTCAGAGCACCAGGATCCAGCGGTGCCTGAAGTCCACCCCTGAACTTTTCAGTTATGGGGGCCGATTGCTTCAGCCAATCACAACATGGTTTCAGGTACCCATGACCAGAGTCTTGTCTAAAACATGCCTGACGCCCCATCCCCCATCTCAACAGTCTCTCCCAGGCCCCTCCCCTGCTCCCTGCCACTTCTGGGACCCTATCCAGACTGTGAGTCTGGCCACCTTGCCCCACCTTCCCCCGGCATGTCAGCCTGTTCCTCTTTCCCTGGTTCATTGGATCCCTCCACTCTTCCAGGAAGCCATCCTGGATTGCAACCTTCTCCCCTACATCTGCCACACGTAGTAGAATCAGGATCGATTCTCTACTCCTACGTAAGAGGTGGGGGCATTGGTTTCAAGTCTGCTCTCCTGAGTAAATGCCCTACAGCCTCCTGCTCTCCTCCACACGCCCTCGCTGTAGGGAGGGGCACCCGCCCTATGCAAACGGAGCTGCCTAAGGAGCACCTGCTGAATGGCTGCGGCAGGGTTGACAGCGTGGTTTCTGGAGCCAGGCACTGGGGTCAAATCCCGGCTGCCACCCTCTCCAGCTGTGTGACCTTGGTTTGTCATTGCCTCCCTGGTTTAAAATCCCCAGAAGCCAGGCCTTCCTGAGCCTTATCCCTGCAGCGGACGCCCCCTCTGGCCAAGGGTGGCACAGGCACCCGGCGGTGGGTACCTTGGAAGCCACAAACTGCAGCAGCTCCCTGCTCAGCGCCGCCACCTCCTGGCGGTTGACCGGAGCCTCCTCCGCGTCTTCCTCGTCCTCCAGCGGCGCCCGCCGACGGGCCTGATGGGCCAGCTGCCGGTCCAGGGCACTTTCCCACTGGGCCCGGACCCGCAGGGAGGCCGCCAGGAGCCGGACAGCACTTTCACTATCGGCAAACTGGAGCTCCAGCCAGCCATCGGCCACCAGGCGGGAGCAGTCACCGTTGGTGTCCAGGGACCGACTGAACAGCAGGAGAGACTGGAAGGGGGCAGCAGCAAACAGGCAGTGGGTGAGGGGCAGGGTACCATCCTAGAGGGGCCCAACCGGCGGGGTTCCTGCCCACCCACTCATTCATCCATCCCACCGTCCACCCATCCACCTGCGCACCCAATGTATCCATCAGTTCCCCCACCTGTCCGCCTACCTACCTGTCCATCCACTTGTCTATCCAACATATCCTTCCACCCCCCACCCATCCACCCACCTCGTCAGCCAACATCTACCACACGCCTAGTCTGTGCCAGGACTCTTCCAGGTGCTGGAGATACAACTGTGAACAAGACAGACTGAGCCCCGGCCCCCGCGGAGTTGACATTCTCCTTGGAGAGACAGGCTAACGAAGACCACAGTGTGAGACAGAGAGGAGGTTCGAAGAAGGGGGTCAGTCATGCTCCAGGCTGGGGACAGACCGCTGAGGGAAGAGTCTACACCTTCACAAGCTGGGGGTTATAGGCACATACGCCTTTGTCAACCCGCATCAAATGATGTCCCTAACGTCTGTACATGTCACTCTATGTACATTTTACCTTCGAACATACACACGATGCTTGGATGCCAGCTGATGGGCGCAACAGAAGTGTTTAAGGGTGAAGGACAGTAGGTTAGCAAGTTACTCTGAGATGCATCAAGAAATTAAAAAGAAACTGACCTACTCAAATGGGTGGTGAGTGGATAAGGACAGATACGTCATCAAGCAAAAGACCAATGTCACTCAAAGGAGGATATGAGCATTCACCATGTGAGTCTTTCAACTTTTCTCTTTAAAAACCACCATAATATGCTGAAGAAAATTCCCAGGGATGAGATGGGGCAGGGGGAGGGGGTGGGTAGGACCGGCCAGGGGTCCATATTCTGGGGGCTGGACAATGAAACAGGAGGGTCCAACAGCACCCCATCAGCGTTTGTGTCCGTCTCAAACTCTCCATCGTGAACAAAGCAGGGAAGGAGGGGGCACGGAACTCGCAGGCAGCGTCTCCGCTTCCTCCCTGAGGCCCTGCTCACGGCCACGGCTCTGCCCCCCACCTGCCCACAGGACATGCCTCTGGCTCGATCCTTTATATTTGTGTTTCTGTTCACCGTCTGGCTCCCCAACTCGTGTGTGAGCCCCATGAACACATTTTGTTGCTTCTGATCACGACTACACCCCCAGCAACGAGACAAGTACTTAGTGCCTGGTGCAAAGCAAGTGCTCAATAAATGAACGAATGAGTATAACGAGCAGCGAAGAGCTGGTTTTCATGGGGTCAGTGGAAATCACAGTGTCAATAAAAATCTCCTGAGTTCAGGGAGCCTGGAGTGTTTCTCCCTTCCCTTGGCATTCCCTGGGGTCGAAGTGAGGGGGTCCTGGTAATGGGACACCCGCAGCGTGGCCACTTGCTCACTGTATGGCTTAGGCAAGCGGCGTGTCCCCACCCCCGACCCCTGCCTTCACCTCCGGCGTGAGCAGCCAGCCCCAGAGCCGCAGGGTGGCAGGTGGTGAGCGCACAAGGTGTGGTAGCTGCCGCTGTCGCGGCTCCCTCCCTGGCTTACACGTCCATCCCTATCCTGCCACCATCCCCTCCCTCGTCCCTGTCCCCGCTTCCTCCCCTCGTCAGACCCGGTCTCAGACCCTGTCCCAGCCCCGCTCCAAACCCAGTGAGGCAGCGAGCCTCACTGTCTCGCTGACCTCATGTCCCCTAATTCTTCCCCTCACCCACTTACTGCTCCAGCTTTTCCCTGCGCGAACCAGATGTGCGCGTGCCTCAGGGCCTTTGCACTTGCCGCCAGGACTCTTCTCCCAGGGTTCCCTTTGGCACCCTCTCTCCCTCTCTTCACCTCTTTGCTCAACCGGACCTTCTCCACGAGGCCCCCCCCCCCCATCACCTTATTCCATACTCTTCCTTGTCGCCCACCCCCAACCCACCCCGCCTAATCTCCATAGCCCATTCTTTTTCACTTCCTGGACCACGCATCACCCTCGGACACCTCGTGGAGTGCCGTCCTACGTTTATTGCCGTTTTCTGTCCTCCCCTGCTAGATGGCAGCTCCAGGAGGGCCGGACCAGGTCTGCTTTAGTTCTCTGCTGTGTTCTCAGCACCGCAGGCACCCGGCGGGGAGTTGTTAAAGGGAGGCGCGAGCGGAAAGACAGCAGCTGCCCAGGGTCTGCGGCCGACGCCCGCAGCCAGCCAGGGAGGTGACTCCTCAGGCCCCAAGCTGTGCCTCCTGCCCCGGGTACCCAGTCATCACACCTGGGAGTTGGAAGGCTGGGCAGGGACCCACCTGGAGAGCGGGGATGCGGACACAGTTCACCAGGTACGGCTTGTTGGTCTCCAGCAGGGACACAAAGGTGAGGAGCTGGTGCCTGCTGCTCATCTTGTCCCTGTCGTCTGAAAAGGCCAAGAGGACAGCTCAGGCTCACCCTGCCCACCGACCTCCCCTCATACTCTTTGTCCCCATCCATCCCCCGGGGGCTGCCCGTTCCCCGCGACATTTTACCCGTCCATAGGAAGGACACGCTCACGTGTGTAATGATAAAGCGTCTGTGACTTAGTTTTAAATATTCTGTCACATTGAATACGACTTTGGCTCTTCAGTGATACTGAGAAATAGTTAATTTTGTTAGGAGTGACAATAGCATTGTGGTAATGCTAAAAACAGTCATTATCACTAAATGACATGATGTCTGAAATATGATTTAAAATACTCCAGCAAAAAGGAAGGAAATGTAAAGGGGCAGAAAGAGAAAGGACGGTGAACGCGGACAGCTACAGAAGCTCGTAAGTGGGTGACATATACAAGTTTTCAAAATTAAAAAATAGAAGAAAAACAATGTAATGTGAAGAGGGTAAGCTGACTAGTAATTTATAGCAATTAAAAAGTAGAAGTTTCCAATTCTATCTTTGGTGTTTAAAATTAAAACCTTATCTTTTTGAATTAATAGAGCATGTTCCTTTGTTTGCAAACAGGGAGAAAAATGGTTTGCATCCCCAAGCCTTGCGAGGGGCGCCCCAGGCCGGCCCGGCTGGGCCTGCGTGTACAGGCGCTCGGCAGGGCGGCTCTTACTAAGCCCAGACTAGGAGGCAGTCGGATCCCGGCCCGACTCTGCCTTCCAGGACGAAGCCAGGGGGTTCACAGATCTCACGGATGGATCTCATGACAGGCTCAAAACTCGCCCCCTGGGAACGGCCACCGCGCCGAGGGCCGCCCACACCACCGCAAGGAGAGCGAGGCTTAGCATGGAGGTGACCTCGCCAAGGCCACCCAGCCGGGTCTGGCACTGAGACGCTCCGCCTGCAGGTCCCACCACGTCGGCAGCGCGGCAAAGGTGGCGAGGAATGGAGCGGGAACTGGGACAGAGGGGGCCCTTCTCCCACTTGCGCTCGCAGTACCTCGGCTCCCCTCGCTGGTCCTGGCCTCCGGCTCCCGCGTGTGCAGCACCTCGGGGCTGCTGGCGAAGACGCAGGTGGGGTGCAGCACGGTGCCCTGCTTGGCCTGCGTGTGGAAAATCTGCAGAGGCCAGAGGCAGCGCCAGGTGACCACGGAGCCCCCCAGACGGGCTCTTCCTGCTGCCTGAACTGCTTTTCCTCCCCACCCTTGGCCAGGTGCCTTCTTCCACGGCTCAGCTCAGAAGCCTCAGGAGTGCCCTCCTTCAGGGCGTCCTGCCTGAGCCCTCCCAGGCTGGCCCAGGCCCCTCGCGGTTCCCCAGCCCGGGCTCCCCACTCCGGCCCCGGCGCCAGCCCCCCCGGGTCACCTGTCTGGGCTGTGAGCCCCACGAAGGCAGGGCCAGGGCTGTTTCAGTCCAGGCCACGACCCCAGCACAGAGCAGGCACAGGACGCTGTGCCAAACAACGACACACAGGCGGGTGGGGACCGGGAGCGGGAAGGAGGCGCACCTGGTCCGAGTCCTTGCGGCCGCTGTTGAACGGGTCCGGGATGGCGAGCTGCGGGTAGAGGCCCCGGCCCAGCACCAGCTTGAGCAGAACCATCTGGTCCCGGGTCAGCGCCTGGGCCGAGCTGGCGGCCGCCTGCAGCTGCTCCAGGTTGTGCCGCAGCTTAAACTTCACATCCTGGTAGGCACACGGGGGCAGGTGGGTCCCAAGGGGCTTGCACTAGGACCCGGAGGCCCAAGGGGTCCTGCAGGACCTGCAGACAGGTCCTGTCCACAGACACCTGTCTCCCAAAGTGCGGGCAGGGCCGTGTCCCCTCGGGCCCCAGGACAGGGTCCTGTTCTCACGCCGGTCAACCCCACCGCTGCCTGCTCCAGGCCCCAGCCCACCCCGTGGTGCCCCACCTGGATGTCCACGCTGTCGCCGGCCCCCTGGGAGGCTGTGCCGCGGTCCTCGTCGCTGGAGCCGCCGTCCTGCTCCTCTTGCAGCCGCAGCACCTTGCGCCTGCGCCCCCCACCCGCCTCGTGCTGCCGCTTCAGTTGGTACAGCGCCTGGCGCTCCCGGCGCTGCCGCAGCCGGCTGTAGCTGTCCCCTGGCTCTGGGGCCTGTGCCCCGGCCAGCAGCCCGTGGTCCTTCAACAGCTCCTGGGGCACAGACGGGGCCCAAGTGAGGGACACAGGACAGACCGAGCGGGTGGGCTCTGGACCTAGACACGGTTCAAGTGTGGGGCCTGCCACTTGCTGGCAAGCGACGTCACCCTTCTGAGCCACAATTTTTCTCAAATGCAAAATGGGGACACCCCCAGTACCCCCCCCCCCCACTAGAGCTGTCGGGGGCTGAAATGTGTCAGATAAGAGCAACTGCGAACAGCGCGGACACAGAGACCGCTCCAATGGAAGTGCGCTGCCACTGCTGTTGGCCAGTGAACGCCTGGGCCGGGGACAGGAGTGGACAGGAGGGGACAGGGAGGAAAGCGAGGAAGCCTCTGGTCCCCACCCAGGGTCTTCCCTGGGCTCCTGTAGGTCGTGGCCCTGGTCAGGCTCCAACCTGCCCCTCTGCACCTGCCCCGGCCCCTGCGGGTGTCTCAGAGGGTGGTCCTCCCACCAGCCCCAGCATCTGGGACACGGAGACTTGTGAAAATGCCAAGCCCTGGGCCCCTCCCCAGAAAACTGACCCAGAATCTTGGGGGTGGGGTCAGGCACCTGGATTTAACAGACACTTAGGGGATTTAGATGCGCATTAGGGACGCGAGCCATTCACCCCGTGGCACCTTTGGGCACGGTCTTCCCATGACCCTACTGAGTTAGACCCTCTGCTTCTCACTGAGCCCCAACCAATGCAGGACAAGGAATACTGTGTGTGTGCGTGCGTGTGCGCGTGTGAGAGAGAGAGCGCACATGCGCGCACACGCGAGTGGTGTCTGGGGCGCACCGAAGGTGGAACCACAGCTCTCGGAAGCCATAGACATTGAAAAACACAAAAATGGTCAGGACATTGCTAGTCCCCAACGTGGGGACCCCCTAAAATTGTATGGGAGGCCGTGGTCAGGTGACTGACCCCTCTGGGCCTTAATCTGCCCATCTGCCACCAAAGGGGACGGGTCAGCCCAGGGGCACTTGCATTTTATTTCCATTCCATAGCACATGTGTGACCACTGAGAAGGATGAAGCAGATCTTCTCGTTCTCAAGTGGAAAGACAGCCCCAAAATGTTAACGACACAAGCAAGGTGCAGGGCCCCATAATAACAATGCCATGGCGGACCCTCGCAGGAGACCGCCTGCGGCTCTGCGAGCGCTGACTCCCTGACGCCCCACAGGGCCTCTGTGCGGCGGGCGGGCGGGCAGCCGGCGCAGTATCCTCCCCGGTTTCAGGGGTGGAGCTGGGGCCCGGAGAGGCACGGTCACTTGCCCTGGGCCGCACTGCTAGCCAACGGCAGGGCTGGGATTTGCCGTTGGGCTATCTGGCTCTAGATTCGGTGCCTCTCTAGGCTTCAGTGCAACCACGGCCCTAGACTGCCTCCCAGAGCTCAGCCCTCACGCAGCCAGCTCCGCGCCCCTGCTCCAGAGGGCGGCCCCGGAAGGTTGGCCCTGCACTCCACCCCCTGGGAGCCCTCCTGGATTTCCACCCACACCGTGCCTGGTCAGCGATGGTGGGGAGGTGGGTGTAGGCTGGGGCCCTGCTCACTCTGCTAGAGAAGGAGGGAGGCTGTGTGCTGGAGTGCGTCCAGGGGCACTCGGGCGGCCTCCCCTCACCCCGGCCTCCCTGTCCGCCTGGGCTGGGCTGCCCCACTCCCAGGTCCTGAGCCTCACCTTGAACTGGCGCCGCAGGTTGGCCATCTCATACAGCCGATGCTCCTCTATGCCTCGGCGGCGGCACCACTTACGTGAGTTTCTGCTCCGTTCTGATTTCACCTGCATGGAGGCAGACCCGAGGTGTCAGGGCCTGGCCGGCGGGGGCGGGGGAGGGGGAGGGGCTGGCCTCCCACCCACACCGCCGCAGCACGGGTCTGAAGCCGCAGCACGGGTCTGAACGCCGGCCTCTGGGAGGATGCGAGGCAGGTGGGAGACCTGCAGGCCCTCCCTGGCACCTGCTTTGTTCCTTCTTCCAGGTCTCCGCCCTGCTGCCCCCTCCCTACAGGAAGCCCTCCCAGACCACACTGGGTCAGGCACCCCCTCCCAGCTCCCTCAGCTCATTCTGAGTGGTTGCTGTGTAGGGACGCATCTGGCTTCCTGCACTGGACTGTGAGCCCCAAAAGGGCTGGGGCCTTGGCACTGCCCGGCACAGGGTCAGACCCAGGGTGGGGGTTCAGGGAACATGTTTTGGGAGTAACAGGTGCTACCCTGGGAGTCAGGACTTCCCCCTGACGGCACTGGTTTTGACCGGTACTTTAGAACCCCAGGCTCCCCTCCAGCCTGAGCTGTGCGCGGGCTGGTCCCAAGGGCACTGGAGTCCGTGGGCCGGGGTGGGGGGCGGCCCTCCTCAGGCAGGCCCTGGCCCTGTGCAGGACGCAGACAGACGGGGTGGCCCCGCCGCCGGCCTCACCTGCACCCAGGTGTTGAAGACATTGAAGAGTGTGAAGGGGTCACCCTGGTCGCTCTCCAGGGGCCGCCGCGCTGCTGCACATTCCGGGTGGCTCTGGGCGCTGCGGGTGAAGGGTGACTGGACGCTGAGGGCGGCCGCGATGGTGAGCACAGGCTCCGCCAGGTGGAACATGGAGCCCAGGATGAGCATCTTCCCTGGGGGGCGGGCAGCGAGCTGAGCCTCCCCGCCTCCCTCCCTCCATCCCGCCCACGACGGGCCTCGGGAGCCAGGTGGACATGCTGCGCTTCCCAGCCACGTGATCTCGGGCAAGGCCTCAGTTTCCCCATCTTAGGCAGGCATGTGATGGGCGCTAAGCAATGGCTACTGCTTCTCTCTTCACTACCAGCCCCCCCAGCATCCCCTCCCCGTGTGCCTGGCTTTGTTTCTTCCCAGCACTGACTTTGCCCTGCCACGGCCTCTGTCCTCCCTTCAGAACGTGACGCCACACAGGCTGTAACCCAGCCTGCCTGGCACACAGCAGGCGCTCACTCTGGCACCGATCTCAGCCTGAATCTTGCCCTGCCACCTTTATGTGCTTCAAAATGGAGAGGCAGGGGAAGATGGAGAGGAGGGTGGGGAGGGGAGGGAGGAGGAGGCAGGGGGACAGCGAGGCACAGGGAGGAGGAAGGAAAGCGGGAGGAACAGTATGACAGCATGGTGAAAACACACTTCCCGATGCTCAGGCTGCTCCTGCCTGCTCTGAGGTCAGTGGCATCGAGTCTGACTCATCCCCACGGGTCCCACTGACTGCCTTTCCAGAAAGTTCCTGTTACACATCTAGCCTCATGATGTAAGGCGGGCAGTAAAACAAGTCTGTCCCAGGCCCCCTAGCTCCGTCACCTCAGACAAGTCCCCTGTCCCTCCACGCCTCTTTCCCCACCTGTGACGGGGTGACAATGGCATCCACCTGCTGTGAGGATGAGCCGCGTTTCGCCCTGTGAATTGCTCTCTGTGCCTGGCCAGTGACTGATCCATCTGGGTCCAGAACCGCCCAGCACTGGGTCACCTGTGTCTACTGCCCGCAGGACCCGGGACCAACGGTGTCCCAGGGATGACCTGGGGAGCGCCTCCCAGCTCCGCCTGCTGCAGGACCCGGGGGAGTGAGTCGCAGCCTTTCTCTGAGCCTCATTTCCTCATGGACAGCGAGCGGCACTCACTTCTACTCTGCAGGAGATGACAGATGACGTGCCTAGCACACGTAGCAGTCTGACAAATGCAGGCTCTGTCGCAGGCGTGTTCCATTCCCTTGGGCGCAGACCTAGGCCCCCCCTCCACCAAGCCTCAGCTTCCTCATCTGCACAAGACAGGTGCCTGGAGCCGTGCCCGCACTGAGTGAGAAGGAAATGCTATACAGTCTACAGAGCCTTTCGTTGGCACACGGGAAATGCTCGTGGAATGTTCATTTTCTCAGACCTGATTCTCCCGACTCTAGGCCTGTTTCCTGCTGAAACAAACGGAAATAGCCGCTTCATAGCCCTCGGAGACGGTGGTCTCCGCCTCCTGCCTGCGCCGAAGCCCCAGCGCAGTGCAAGGACAGGGGCTTGAGCGACACTAACACAGGCCGAAGGTTCTGTTGAGCGTCATCCTTGGGAAATGGCGCCACGGGTGGACGGGCTCTACTGGGACTCTTCTGCAGGCTGGGGACTGCGGGCGGGGCTAGAATGTCTTGAGTCAGGAGAATTGGGCAGAATGAAACGCTTGAGTCAGGAGCCCAGCAGGAGGGGCAGGGATGGCACCAGAATGAGGAAGAGAAAGAGGTTCTGAAATCCCTCGGACCAACCACAAAGGGCAGTGCCAGGGCAGAGCTGGAAACAGGCTGTGCACAGAGGCGTGTTTGTTTACTGCTATCTCCTTGGTGTCAAGAGCAGAGTCTGACGCAGAGGACTCGTGAATGAAGGGACAGGGCCTGGAGGAGGAACAGGCTTGCCCGCAAGTCACCAGAGAGCAAACAGGGCCCTGTACCCACCCAGTGCCCCGTGGGTCACCCCAAGGGGGGCAGGTCCTCACCAATTACAACATCCACAGGCAGCTGGGCCAGCAGGGACCCGATCGGGGTGAGCGCCTCTGAGCTGTCCAGGGCCCCCTGGTCCCGGAGGTAGTGGATGGCCGTCTCCAGGCTGGCTGGTGGCGGGGGCTCAATGAAGGGGAAGGTTCTGGGGTCTCCCACGCTCATGCTCTTCATCTGGAATGAGAACCGAGGCCCCCGGGAATGGAGGACACATGAGCCACTGTGGAGCCCTGCGAGGGCTCAGGTCACAAACTCGCGCCATTTTAAAACCCCAGTGTCGAGGCCCACTGTACAGGGGCGGGGGAGGACGGCCACTGTCTGCCTGTCTGTCTGGCCAGCACCTCTTTCCCCAGACCCTGGCTGTGGAGCGAGTGCATGCTCTAAGCTGGACCAAGCATGGTTTCTCAGCCTCCGGCCATAAGAGCTGGCTAAGGAATGAGCACACGACCTGAGCTGGACCGCTCAGAATCCTTCCCTGGGACTTTGCAAACTGGAGCTGGGACAGAGAAATCCCAGCATCCCCTCTGGTTGAGAGGGGCCGGGGCAGAAGCTCAAAGACGCTAAGGTTATTCCTCCATTGCCTGGGGATTAGCCCGTCCACCGCGGATGGAGAAGTCCTTAATTGCTCCTAAGCTAGACCTCCACCTGCAATGCATACACAAATCCATAAAATCCTCTTTCCTGCTTACAACACTTTGAGTTGGGTTTCTCTCCATTCTCTCTTCACTTTCAACCAAAGAATCCCCATTAATTCAGAGGCCAGAGGGGTAGCGGGTGGTGGGGAGAATGAAGCGAAACACACCCCCGTCACCAGGCCTGGCACGGTGACTCATGTGACTAGGAGAGTCAGAAGAAAGCTCAGAGAGCCCAGGGGTTCAGCCCAAGTCTCCCAGGGAGGGGACCTGCTCACCTAGCCCTGATCTGGAGGCCACCAGACATTTGGCCAGCCACCAAACCCTGACGTTGTCTGCGAGATCACCCAGCGCCCATTAAAATACCTTTAAATTAAAATGTCTGGGTTGGGGCGTGGGAGTGGATTTATTTTTAAGCTCTCCAGGTGATTCCAGTGTGTAGCTGGGGCTGGGAATCAGTGCTACGATCCAGTCTGGCAATGCCATGTTCTGGACAATTACAGGTCACAGAGTGGACACATGACACGTGTGACCCAGTTCTGCCGACCAGACAGGTTGGAAAATTGGCCAGAGGGCTTCTGGGAAAGGTTCCCATGGCCTCAAAACTGAGACCCACAGAGAGGAGCAGTTGGCTGCTTCTGTCCCTAGGTGGTGAAGGAGAAGGCAGTGACGCACACAGCTGTCAAAGCCAGATGGCATTCAAGAGGCAGGCTTGAGGCCTGACAGACAGATGGAATCCGAGCTCAGCCACTTGCCAGCTGTGTGACTTGGGTCAAGATACCTAATCTCTCTGCGCACCCATTTCCTTGTCCATACATCAGAATAAGATTACCTACCCCGCAGAGTTTTTGTGAGGATTAGGTTATATATTGTAGCCCTGGCTGGTGTGGCTCAGTGGATTGAGCGCCGGCCTGCGAGCCAAAGGGTCATAGGTTCAATTCCCAGTGCAGGACACATGCCTGGGTTGCAGGCCAGGTCCCCAGCAGGGGGTGCGCGAGATGCAACCACACACTGATGTTCCTCTCCTGCTCTTTCTCCCTCCCTTCCCCTCTCTAAAAATAAATAAATAAAAAAGAAGTTATATATGGACATAAAAGGCTTAGGATAGAGCCTAGCCCACAGTAAGCACTAGGGAAGTGTTGTCATTATTGTTAGTGCCATTACTATTAAGAGAACTGCTGACAAACAGGTTGTAAAGACAGAAAAGCCCGGGTCCTTTATGACGTCACTGAGCCATTCAGATAACCAAGCATGGGACCTCCCTGTCTAGGCCTTCTTTGTAAATATAAAACGGCACTTTTCCCTTCTTGTTTAAGCCAGCATTTTTCCAACAGCAGGTCAGGAACTGCATGTGGTAGATCACAACCAGCATTTATAAAATATAAAATCGAACAAATAGAAACTATTGGCGTGTGTCACCCATAGAAAGCGGTTTGTATGCCACTCATGCATGCGGGCGCCTGCGCATGCTTTCCTCTGCCCGCCCTCCTGAGCAGAGACTGCACGGCCAGCCTCCACTGCAGGGAGGTGTGGCCAGGGCGGAGCTCGGGCCAGGGCAGGTGCAAGGGAAGCATGCCACCTGCGGACCTGGCCCTTAAAGCCCCAGACCCATGCGCCCACCCCGCTGCACAGCTGACGATGATGAAGAGGCCCAGGGACATGAAGGAGCCATGAGAGGGAAGGGGCCTGGGCCCCTGAATAAAGGAAACTGCCTGCCAACCTGGGAACGACAGTTTCGTTGGGCTGCCTGTCATGGGAGCGGGTCTACTCCTCTAATCTAAGCAAAACTAACGATGGAGATGTGAGCTGTGATATCACATGTATAGAGAAGCCCTGGTTTTATTGTAAAAGCCACTTCTTGACTGGTTTTCTGTGACAGCTGAAAGCATCCTGACTGAGTCACAGGGTTCTTCCCGTGACCCTGTGGATTTGGGCAACAATTCCCCCCTCGACATAGGATCTGGCATGTGGAAGGGCTGAGAGCCCCTCAGCGGCCTGTCCAGCCCCGCCCTCCCTGGCCCTGAACCTGGGACGGGTTCCATCTAAACGCCTCCTGTCCCCACCCCGTCCAGGGCACCAGCCCTCAGGACGCAGTGCCCCCCTGCCCCTGCCTCACCTGCAGCACCAGCGCGTCCAGGGCTACCCTCCGAATCTCGGGGACGGCGTAGGGGGCGAAGGCGTCGTAGTCCGATTCGGCGTAGAGGCGGAAGCAGACACCTGGGCCCGTGCGGCCCGCCCGGCCTTTGCGCTGCTCCGCACTGGCCTGACTGATCCAGAACTCCTGCAGCCGCTGCAGTTTGGCCTGGGGGTCGTAGCTCATCTCCTTCACCTTCCCTGGGTGGGGAGGAGGGCGGAGTGGCTGTCCGCGTGCGGCAGCCGCGCGGGCCCTGCCCACGCCTGGCCCTCCGCCCAGCCCTTCATCCCCCAGCACCACACCGACTCCCTCATCCCATGGACACCGGCCCACTGCTCGTTCTGGCCTGGCCCTGACGTTCTGTTCATGGAATCTTTCATTTCCTCATCCACACATCTTCCCCCTTATCTTCGCGAGCCTCTGCTGATATAGTCAGGTGTTCAGACATCTGACAAACATGAAGAACCTACTGTGTGTCGGGCACTGGACTCGGCCCTCGGGACACAGCTGTGGACAAAACGAGGTTCCTGTTCTCGGGGGGCTGAACAGACACCGTATTTCATCCGCACTGAGACCAACCTGTTCTCATACAGTATTGTCTCTGATGTACTTTCAAATCAATGGCATGTCCATCCCAGGCTACTATGGCTCAGGGAATTGAGTGCCAGCCTGCGAACAAAGGGTTGCCGGTTGGATTCCCAGTCAGGGCACGCGCCTGGGTTGTACAGGCCCCCCAGTAGGGGGCACGCGAGAGGCAGCCACACATTGATGTTTCTCCCTTTCCCTTTCTAAAAATAAATAAAGTCTTTAAAAAATAAAATAAAACCAATGGCATGTCCATGTTTAAAGGACAGCATTTTAAAATCTTCTTAATGGTACATAAAGTTGTGGAATGTTTTATCACAGGCATCCAGGTTCAACGCTGCGAGGTAACTGCTGACGCTTAGGGAGCGTCCGCGCTTTGCGGGCACTGCCCGAGTACCCGGGAGGGCTGCGTTCACTCACTTAACCCTGACACCCTCGGGAGGCACTGTCATTACTGCCACTTTGCGAATGAACAGACTGACACGCAGAGTGTCAGGGACACGACCCTGGTCCCACTGGCCAGGCTGTCTCCAGTGTCCCCTAACTACTCTGCTCCGCTGACTTTCCAGAGAACAGTCTAATTGGGAAGACAAACCGTAAATAGATGAACAGATATAAAATCTGATGCCCGCACTAGGGAGAAGAGCAAAGCCCCACCAGGAAAGCAAGACAAAAGAGCAGGTGGAGGCCGCTTGGATCAAGTGGACAAGGGGGGCCTCGAAGGGGGAGACACTTTCACAGACTCCGGAATGGGATGAACGTGTGGCCCTGTGATATCGGGAGAGAAAGAGCTCAGGGCAGGGCAGCAGCGAGTGCAAAGGCCCTGAGGCAGGGGCAAGCTGGAGTGTCTGAGAGAAACGAAGATGCCGCCACTGCTCCACAGCCCCAAGCGCCGCCTGCTCCCTGGTTCCGGCCAGGCGTTCCCTCGCCACAGCTGCGCATCTCCAAATCGCCACTTCCCTCCAGGTCCTTGGGGTAGCTGGGGGCAGCCTTACCTGAATCTACCACAAAACGGATCCCATCAATGGTGACTGAGGTCTCAGCGATGTTGGTGGAGAGGATGCACTTCCGGACTCCAGCGGGAGCCACATCAAATACCTGGCGGGGAAGGAAGGAGGTGAGATCGGGGGCTGACGCAACCCTTACTGGGCCGTGTGTCCAGGGGCCTCCTGGGCACCGCCTGGACGTCTCACACCCACAGGCCTAACCCAACCTCAGTCCTTCCACCAGACCCGTTCCTCCTCAAGACTCCACCTCAGAGATGGCTCACCATTCTGGGCGAGACACCTGGGCTGTCCCGAGTCCTCCCCCTGCCTGCCCAGCTCCAGACACACCTGGACATCGTGAACACTTCCTGATTTCATGTCCTCCTCCCCAAACCCACTGCCCCTGCCCTGGCCCAGGCCCTCCCTTCCCACCAGATGCGCTCCAGCTTCTTCCTTGGTCTCTAGACTTACTCCCTCCAGTCCATCCTTCACACACCGCAGAGGGATCTGCTAAAGCACAGATTGCCACTGTCCCCACCTTGCTCAGAGCCCTCCCAGGGCTCCCCAATGCGCTTGGGACAAAGCCCACGCACCACGCCAGGTCCTCGAGGACCCTTATGGTCTAACCCTATGTACCTCTCCAGGCCCATCTCTCCTGGCTTTCCCTTCGTGATCCGGACGCCAGCCACCCTGCGTGGAGCTTCCCAGCTGCCTTGTCTTTCTCTCACCCCAGGCCCTTTGCACAAGCCCTTCTCTTGGACTCAAGAGACCGTCAAGCCTAGTGGCTTGGGGGGGTCAGCGATATGGCCTGCGGACCAAACCCAGGCAATGGCACACAGCCCCACCTGGTCGGCCTACAGCCGCTATCCTGCTGTGACTGCGGAGTCACTGTGACAGACATGTGGCCCACAGAACCTAAAAATACGGACTCCCTGGCCCTTTACCAGAAGTTGCCAACCTGTAGTTAAGGGCATGGGCTCTGGTGCCAAATTAGCGAGGCCCACAGCCTGGCTCTGCCACTTGCGTGACTTTGCGCACATGTCCGCGCCTCGGCCTCTGCATCTGTTAGGCGGGAATAACAATGACAACAGGACCTGGAGGTGAGGGCTAAGCGGGCTGAGCCCAGAACTCCAGCCACCTGCAGCACATGCTCCCCACCCACAGCTTAGGCTGGGCTTTCTCAGGTCTGTTTTGAAAGTCCTTTCCTCCAGGAAGCCCTTCCTGAATCCACCAAGACTCTGCTCTCAGGGTTCAGGAGCTTCCCTCTACCATTTGTAAAATTGTCAATTCCTCGTCCACCTCCCCCAACAGGCCAACAGCCACTTCAGGGGAAGGGCTACATCTTGGCTCCCGCTGTGCCCCAAAAAGCCCGCTCAGCACCGGGGAAGCACCAAGGAGTGGCTGGGGGCGTGTCTTCAATTGATAAACAACGACTGCAACCTGCAGGGATCTCCCCCAAGGTGACTGCACAGTCAGCCTCGGGCGGTCCCAGGGAGTCGCACCTCCCGGGACTCTCCCTGCATCCCGCGCCCTCGCAGCAGGCAGCGCACGCCGGCTTAACTAAGAGGACGCTGCAGAAACGATGGTTTGTGATGTCCAAAGCCAGGCTCAAGATGTTGTGGCTCCTGTTTTGGTCTCTCAGAGAGAACCAGCCACCATGTGGCAAAGACACTCAAGCAGCCCCCTGGTGAGACCCCGGTCCCCCGCCAGCCAAGGGGGTGAGGAGCCTCCGGCCCTGGTCAAGCCTTCAACTGAGCGCAGCCCCAGCCGACTGCATCCTCATGAGAGGCCCTAGGCCAGAAACCCGCCAGCTAAACCACTCCCAAGCTCCTGGTCTACAGAAACTATGTGAGATATAGAATGCTTATTGTTCTAAGATGCTAAGTTTTGGGATGATTTGTCGCATGGCAATAAATAACTCATGGCGTGATGCAAAGCCGTCTCTCGTGGCCCTTCACCATTCCAGCCACGCGGTCTCTTCCCCTGTCCCCACACCCCACGCACAGAGTCTCGCCTCCATCCCTTTGCTCTAGCTGGTCCCCCTGCCCGGACTGCCTTCCTGCTCCTTCTCCTACCCCAGACCCTCCTGGTTCTTCTCATATAAGGCCCGATGCCTCCCGCCTCATTGGGAGGCTCACCCTGGCACGGACCCCCCACCCAGATGACGGGAGCAGCCCCATGCAGCCCGCAGCCCTGCGTCCATGGCGTCACGTCCCCTCCGACCCCGCCTTCCCCCTGGCGCACACAGCCAGACCCCCAGGCTGCCTGGCTGCACGGCATACCTTGTCCTGGTCGGCCACAGAGAGGGCGCTGTGCAGCGGCAGCACCACCCAGCGCTGGGTGTGGCTGGCGTAGGTCTGGGCGGCCTCGAGCACGGCACTGATCTCCGCCATGCCGCTGAGGAAGACGAGGAGGTCGCCCCGCTCCTCGGGTGGGTACTTATTGTCAATGGACTCCAGCACCCGCAGGAAGGGCCGCGGGTCCAGCTTCTCCGACTTGGACACGGTCGGCTCTGCCTCAATCGGCTGGTACACGACCTGCAAGGGGACAGCCCTGGCGTGAGCGTCCCTGTCACTCCAGCAGAGAGCAGCGGGGCGAGGAGGCCACAGGGTGACAGAGAAGACCAGGATCAATCTGAGGAGGATGTGATCAAAGCACAAAGTATATGAGTAACTGGGAGGCTTCTGGGGTGCTGGCAAGGTTTGATGTTTCTTAATCTAGGTGCTGGCTGCACACAGGTGTTCAATGGGTGAAAATTAATTGAGCTGTGCACACGGTATGTGCATTCACTCATGCCTGGAGTATAACTTCAACAACAGAATGTTACGGGCACAGCCAGGATTAAAACCCTAGAAATCTCTTCTCAGGAAGCGTCCTCAGTCTTTTATTTTTAATTTTCTTTTTTTTTTTATGGCTGCTTAGAAGATAGACTGATGGGCACTGAGACCCAGAAACCACAAGGGACAGTATAGTTTCCTGGTGCTAGGAACTTCAGAGCTGTTGGCAAAGGCACAAGAGGAAGGAGTGCTTGGTCATTAACACCCCAGAGGACAAAGCTGTGTGGACAGAGCCATCCTGAAAGGAGCTGTGACTTCAGTTGAGGGACACAGACAACCAGGGACCTCAAGGGAGGGAGGTGACTCTGCATTTTTTTTTTTTTATCCTCACCCGAGGACATTTTTTCATTGCTTTTTTTTTTTTTTTTTTTTTTTGAGAGAGAGAGAGAAACATCAATACAGGAAAGAAGCACTGATTGGTTGCCTCCCATATGTGCCTGGGTCCAGGATCATATGCTCCCAGACCAAGGACCATCTGTGCCTGGACCGGGGACTGAACCCACAACCTAGGTATATGCCATGACCAGGAATCAAACCCACAGCCTTTCGGTTACAACACTTCAACCAACTGAACCACCTGGCCAGGGCCGGGGACTGACTGCTTCCCCCACTGGCCAACAGGAAGCCAGAGGGCAGAGGGTCCACTGTTGCTGTCCCACAGGCCCGCCCCGCAGGGAAGACAGGAAGGTGGGAGGGGAGAAAAGCGGATCTGGAAGGGCACAAAGAAGCTTTCTGGAATAGGGCCTGTCTGTCTGGGGGCAGGATTCAAGTCCTGGCTCTGCCACTTGTGAGTCATCCCGGAAACCGGTGATTTCATGTCTCTGAGCTTTACTTTCATCTTTACAGTAGTAATTTGTGGCACAGAACTACCAAGGCTATGGCAAGGGACTCAAGTGAGCCCTTGTACGTTGACTAGGGAGCATGTAGTATACACTTGATAAATGTCATTTGTGATCACCATCATTAATATTATGGACAAAAATGTGCAAGATGTAGCAAACAGACTGAGAAATGGGGGGGGAAGTTCAAGACAGAAGGTGCAGACTGAAAGTTTAGGCCTAAAGAGTTAGGATGTTAAAAAGAATCTCTGCCTAGCTTTCAGTAGAGCAAACTGTAAGAGGACCTGAAAAAGAAAAGATTTTTCATGAATATCAAGCTCCCTTTCTTCCACCTAAAAGGTCTGCCTCTTGATTTCAGCTTCTTCAGTAACAGCCGCACCTCAGGCAGGGGCGAATGAAATGCAATGACACGCGGTGGAGTCCGGCCTGCCCCAGGGCTGCTGCGAGAATGGGATGGCAGTGGGTGTGCCAGCTGGCGTGGGAGACCCACGCTGGTCCCCATAAAGCCTGCTCTTGTCTTCTCTGGCACACTGTCACCTAGGGAGAGAGGGATGATGTTTTCTAGCCTCCCTTGCAGCTAGGTGGGGCTCGGAGGTGAGAACGGAAGCCACCGCAAGGTCATGTCCAACTTCAAAACAAACTGGGCTTTCCCTGGACTTTGGCTCCTTCCTTCTTCCCACAAACCCTGAGAAAACAGAACAGGATACCCAGGACAGTGCTTCTTACCAGGTGTGGTGCTGCCCCCCATGCGACATTTGGCAACATCTGGAGACATATTTGGTTATCACACCTGGGAGAGGAGGATGCTACCGGCATCTGGTGGGTAGAAGCCAGGAATACTGCTAATGATGCCACAACACACAGGGCAGCCCCCACCACGAGTAATTATCCAGCACAAAATGTCAGCGATGCTGAGTCCGAGAAAGCCTGCCCTATGAGGTGGTAGAGGAATGAGGAAGAGCCTGGGTTCCTGAAGGACCACATGGAACTGAGCTGCCCATCAGCCTAGACCAGCTGGACTGCTAAAATTTGAGCCTTTCCATTTTAGGGTCTCCTCTAATAAGCACTTAGCACTTTTCCTGGCACATGTAAATGCTCAGAAATGGCAGCTTTAGAAAAGACAGAGTGAGAATATCCTTAATTGAAGGGATGGGACGCAGAGCAGCAGAGAAGGGACAGGTCCGGGTTTGGCCGGAGACCAGGTGGGAGGACTGGGGATGGGGGGGCACTAACCGTGATGGGGAAGAGCCTCCCAGGCACCTGCACCACGGGGGCATGGCCGAAGTAGCTGGAGAAGAGCGAGATGTTGATGGTGGCCGACATGAGGATGACCTTGAGGTCAGGCCGCGTGGGCAGCAGGCGCCGGAGGACACCCAGGAGGAAGTCGTTGTGGAGGTGGCGCTCGTGGACTTCATCCACGATCAGGACCTGGTACTGGGGCAGGCTGGGCTCCCGCTGGATTTGTCTCAGGAGCAGCCCCACTGTCAGGAACACAATCTTGGTGGCCGCCGAACGCGTGCTCTCAAAGCGGATCTGGTAGCCGACCTGGGGAAGGGGGCGGAGGGCGGTCAGGGGAGGACCCTGGGCCTGGGCGCCAGCCCCTCGCCCCGCCCAAAGTGAAATCGGAGCAAATGCCCCCGCATCAGACTCTGGAGTCCAACAGGCTTGGGTTTGAGTCCCACCTCTACCCCTCCGGGCCGTTGACTTTGGGCAAGCAGTTCCATCCCTCAGAGATGTATTTTTTTCTCCTGTAAGGATTATATGAGCTAATGCACATCAATTATTTGGCACAGAGCCTGGTTCATGGCACTAACTAATTATAATACTAATAATTAGCCTTTCTTGGAGGCCTTACATGTGCTACCAACTGTTATAAATGCTTTATGTATATTGACTCATTGCATTCTCTCAACCACCACAGGGCGCCAGGGTTACTCTTAGCCTCACTTCACAGGTGGGGAAACTGAGGCTGCTCATCCGAGGTAACAGCTAACACGTGGTACCTCGCATCGCACACATATGCACCTACTGATTTCAGGTGAATTATAGTGCTAAAGGTAAAAGTTATTAAGAAAAAAACAGAACACCTTCATGACCTTCAAGTAGGCAAAGATTCCTTAAACAGCCCAAAGGGTGCCGATCATAAAAAGAAAATGACAAACTGGATTATATTTAAGTAAAAAGACACTGTCATCAGAAGACCTCATTCAGAAAATAAAAGGCAAATTATAGAGTAGGGAGAGCGGATATTTTAACTAGTTAAAACTACATAATTTAAAATATGATGTACTTATTGACTGTAAAACTTATTTTATTATAGTGGTAGGCTTGTAAAACACCTTTATTAAAATGTACGTTCAAAAATAATTTTTTTTTCTAAAAGATAAAAGAATATCACAAAGTAGGAGACAATATTTGCAATACATAAATCCTACTAAGGACTCTTACCTAGAACTGATAACAGGCCGGTAAATCAAGAACAAACAGACAGACAATGCAAAAAACAAATGGGAAAAAGGCTTGCACAGACACTTCACAGAAAAAGGCTCTCCTAACGGCCAATAAATACACGAAAAGGCACTCAGCATCCTTAGTCATCAGGGAAATGCAAATGAAAACCCACAATACAAATTAAAATGTGATAGCACTACACAGCCACCAGAAAAGCTAAAATGAAAAAGATGAACTGTAGCAAGCACCGGTGATGACGCGGAATGTACTGCTGGTGGGAGTGTGAATTGGTACAAGTGCGCTGCAAAACGTTTTGGCAGTGCCCACACCTAGATATACACTCAGCAAAAATAGTCACCATGAGTCCCCAGCAGGCACATTATAAAATGCTGAACATGGCACCATTCACAAGAGCCTAAAACTGGAAACCCCCCAAATTCCCGTCAGCAGTTGAAGGGACAAATACCTGTGGCCTTCACAATGGGCTACCGTGTGGCACTGTGACCGCAAGGCGCTCACCTACAAGCGATACTAAGAGTGAGTCTCACAAAACTAACACTGAGCAACAGAGGCCAGGCCCAAAAGAAAACATACTTTCTAATCCCATTTACAAAAAGTAAGATAAAGAGGCAAAAATAATCTGGGATAATCTATCACTAACTCCCTTGCATTTAGGCGATCATTTATCACTAAGAATAGTGATGACCCGGGGGTCTCAAAGGAGTAACAGGAAAAGGAAACAAGGGTTTCTGGGGTGTTGGTGAGTTTGATTTTTTTAAAGATTTATTTATTTTTAGAGAGAGGGGAGAAAAGGGAGGGAGAGAAACAACGATTGGTTGCTCCTCCCAAGCAACCTGACCGGGGACCGAACCTGCAACCGAGTCCTGTGCCCCGTACTGGGAAGGGAATCGAACCGGTGACCTTTAGCTTTGCAGAATGATGCCCAACCAACTGAGACACATGGCAAGTAAGTTTGAGTCTTTAAAAAAAAAAATCTGGGTGCTAACTACACAACTATATTCAACTTGTGAAAATTTACAATTTCCACAAGAGTTAAATGCATTCTTCTGGGTTGGGAGTATTCCAAATTAAGTAACAACAATTCTCAGGCAGTAGAAGCAGGATCGGACCTCATTCTTTTTTATGGCTGTCTAGGAAAAAGATGGATGAATCTTCAGGACATTTCCAATTTTTTTTACTGTTGAAGTGCTATACAGACAGACCCTGGAGACGTTGCGGGGTCACTTCCAGACACCACAATAAAGTGAGCATTGCAATAAAGCAAACTGCAATCTTTTTGTGGGTCGAGGGACTTGCCTTCAATTTGGAAAAAAGATGCAACATCTGCGAAGCACAATAAAGCGAAGCACAGTAAAATGAGGTCTGCCTGTACTAAGTGATGTTAATGCCTTTATCATGTGGACCACATCCAGGCCAATCAGTAGACAGATTTCTAGAAGAATCCATGCTGGGTCAAAGGGTAAGTGCTTTTGTAACTTTTATCGATACAACTGAGGGCAAGCAACTTACTCCCCAAGGTCAAATGGCAGAAACTGGAATCCTGTTCGTTCTCACTCACCTGTGAGCCATACTGACTGAGGCTCTCAAAGCCAACACGCTTGGCCAGTGAGATGCAGGCGATCCGCCGGGGCTGGGTGCAAGCCACGTGACTGAAGCCAGCGGCCAGTAGGTACTGGGGTACCTGAGTGGACTTGCCACAGCCCGTGTCACCTGCCACCACCACCACCTGATGCTCCTTCAGTGTCTTCAGGATGCGCTGCCCATACTGGGCGATGGGAAGCGCCGCCCGCTCACGCTGCAGTTTGGCCAGCCGCCCAAATGCCTGCTTCTGGCCAAAGTCCAAGTAGTGCAACAGGGCTCGGCGGAACTCGGACACTCTCTCCTGGGGCAGGCGCCTGCCCTGCCCCCGAGAGCCCCGAGTGTCAGGGCCAAGGACAGACAGGTTGATGCGGTAACGCGGGTCGTAAGTGCGAGGGAGGTCGGCCAGTGCTGGGATGCTGTGCTTGGGCTGCCCCGGGTCTTTCTCCTCCTTCCTGGTGGTCTTGAGGTGCTGGAACCTCTGTAAGCGTTCGAAGAAGGTCCAGAACTTCTGGCACTCCTCAGAACCCTGGCGGATGTAATCCTCATCCCGGAAGAAGGCATCCTCGAAGAGACTCCGGATCTCTGGACGATTCCAGTCCCACCTCTCTGGAGCCTCCTCCTCACTGGAAGCACGGTGTCGGTGCCGGTGATCCCTGTCCTCCCTTGTTCTGGGAGGAGGCATGCTGGGCCTAATCACACTGCTGTCACAAAAGCGGCCTCAGTTCTGATCACGGGGACCAAATGTTCTCATCCATTCCCCGCCTCCTGCAGTGAGGGGCCAGTACGTACAGTAAGGAACCGCTTTCTCTTCAAAGAGCTAAGTTCTCTCTTCATGGATGGTATAAGGGCCACTGCAGGCGATGGGAGGGTAAGTGGCCAGGGGCCTGGGTCAAGCTGGTGACCCACAGGCACCTCACGGCTCCTGCAGCAACCTCTGGGACGGACAGAAATGTATCCTGGTTTTTCAGGCCCTGAATGTTTGGGGGAAGAGAAAGAAGACATCCGTTTTTAGCACTTACTGAAAGCCTGCTGGACGCAAGCACTGGACTAGAAGGGATAGTAATGAGTTAGACCATCCTGTGCCGCTACAGGTGGTCATGGTCACATGCAAGAGGCAGACCCGTCACCTATTCTGACAATCCAGTGATTGGGGCTGTGTTAAAGTAAGCCCAGGGGGCTGTGGGAGACTTCCATGACCAAAACTACACGAGCAGTGTGGCATAACGAAGAATAAGGCTGCTCTGGCCGGCTGGCTCAGTTGGCTGGAGCATTGTCCCGTACACCAAAAGGTTACAGGTTCGATTTCTGGTCAGGGCACATACCTAGGTTGCAAGTTTGATCCGTGGTTGGGGCGTGTACAGAAAGCAACTGATCAATATTTCTCTCACATTGATGTTTCTCTCTCAATCTCAAATCAATTAAGAACAATTATATCCTTGGATGAGGATTAAAACAATAATTTTAAAAAAAGAATAAAGGCAGGCTCCTAATCTGGGGTCTACTGAGCTTCAGAACAGCTGGGAACCCTTTAAAATTAAGTGCACAATTTTGCAAGTGTTGCGTTACATATGCAGTTTTTGCCTGCCAGGCACATCGCTTCCTTCTTTTTCTGATTAACAATACACACCTTTCTTTGGAGAGCTGCCCTTCCTGGATTCCAGATGGTTCTAATGGCCTTAAGTCAGAGAACTCCTATCGGCTGGGCAAGCGGCAAAGGCCTGGCCAGTCATGGTACCCTACCCTCCCTTTAACCAGTGATTGGTTTGAGAGGTGAACACATGGTCCAAGGAGGGCCCATCAGGGCCTTTCTCTGGAATTTACACTGGGTTACTAGGAAAGAAAAGCTCTCATTTTTATCTACTGTGGCTAGGCAAGGAGGATTAAACCTGAAGCTGTTCGTAACAGCCCTTGAACATGAGCCTTTCCTAGATTTTTATCCCAGAAAATCCTGCCTGTGAACACAATGAGGTACCCACAAGGCACACACTGAGCTACTACAGGGAGAGAACTGAAAGGTGAGAAGCTTGGTGACATCCTTTAGTTCTTGAAGCTTAGTTTCCTCCTATCCTGCACTTCTGAGCTACACAAGAAAATGTCTTTTTTGCTTAGAGCTCAGTTTCTGACTCTCAGTGCCTAAGTCCCAACTAATAAAGGGCGTACCCTGGTACGCGCAATTTACTAGAGGGAAACCCATCACTCGGATTTGTAAATCAGTTTATGATCTTAAAAGGGTTCAGAACCTTCCATGGTAGAGGCTTTGGAGTCGGGAAGACCTGGGTTTGGCCCTCAGCTTCATCATTTACTAGATGTGTGGCCATCAGGAAATGAACACCTTTGAGGATGTTTTCTTCATCTATAAAAATGGGAGCAACACCCATCTCAAAACATGGCAATGTTTATCACCTGCCCTGGTACAGAGAAGCTAAATAGTAACTAGTATTCTGAATTCAGTGCTTTCTCCCAACAACTAACAGAGGAAAAACTGCGAGAACCAGGGGCATACAACTTAAGAAATTCCACTTAGAAGGCCACAATTCGCCTCCATAATGGTATTAGCAATGCGTTCACCTACGCTGCCTTCAGTCTCTCAATGGCCATCAGGGGACAGAGCTCAGAGATTCAATCTCTGCCACGTCAGGGGGAACTCAGGCCAACCCTGGGAGTTCTTAAGAGGCAGGCACGGGTTTCAGCTGGGGAACTTCTGAGCGGCAGAGTTGTTTCTCACAGAGGGAGTAGCCTGGGGGAATGCGCATCGCCTCTTACTCAAAACCTGTACTAGATGACGCCAGGGCAGCTTCGAAGGAATTCCTATTCTAGGAAGGAAGAGGCAAGGACCTTGAAGGGCCACTGGGATACGTAACCAGTGGTTCCCAGAATGAAATGGGAGAGCACTCAGGCTTTAAACTGCATGTGGCCCAACTGCGTGCACCCCCACGGCTCTCAAGGAGTCTACTCTTTTAAGCTACCTTTTAAATTTCCTGGATCTACTGGTTTCTCTGTCACGGTACCTCTGACCATCTCCTGGCTTCTTTTCTAGGCTCATGGCTTTTACAGGTCTTCTTTGCACCCTTTTCTCTCCTCCTCTGGTATCCTGTGTCTTGTCTTTTTCCGTCCATCTTGCTCACCACCCACATCTCCTCTTTCCTCTCTCAGTCACTGGTCCCATCTCACTTCATTTATCTGATTCTCTTCCACTGTCTGTATTCTTCAGTCTGATTTTTTTCCCTGTAAGTCCATCCATCTTTTCCTATTTGACAATCTCTTACTATTTCTCTTTAGTACTCCGTTTGACTTTCTCATTTTGTTGGATTATTTTTTTAAATCATTTTCGTCTCTCTCCAGCTTTCATTCTCTATCACTCTCTTCCTCCACCATGAGTATCTCTTCATCTCGCTCGATTTCGCCATCTAAAATCTTGTCTCACAATTGTCTGAAGATTGAGTAATAGCTACCCTGGCCAGGTGGCTCAGTTGGTTGGAGCATCATCCTGTACACAAAAAGGTTGCAGGTTCAATCCCTGGTCAGCAGGCATATGAGAGACAACCAATTGATGTTCCTGTCTCTCTCCCTAAAATCAATAGATATATCCGATAGCTATAGCCAATAGATAAATCCCTGGATGAGGATTTTAAAAAAGACTGGATAATAGCTATCATTTACTTAGTGCTTACTCACGTATCAGGTACTATTCTAAATCACTTACATACATGCATATGTACACACTTTTCTCACAACCTTAAAAACATGCTATTATTTTACTGAACCACATAGAGAACAAAGAGTAAGTGGCAGGTGAGAAATGCAAATCTAGGGATTCAGGCTTCCTTTACTACTCCTCCTCTTCTATTTTTCAATGTGATTCTCCACTGCCTCGCTTTATCCCTCCATTTTTAAACTTCACACTGTCTTTTCAGTTCCATTTACTCTCTCTCCATTTCCCCATCTGCAGTCTCTTCACGTCTCTCCATTTCTCCATACTCAGGATTACTCCAAGTATCTGCCTTTGTCTCCCATTTCCCATCCATCTCACTCCACTCTCACCTCTTGCTTTCTCTCTCCCAGTCTCTGTCCCTCAATCCCGCTCACGTCAGCTTTTGTCGGACTCTCCCTATTTCACAGTGCCCATCTTTCTTTGGTGATCTCTCCCCATGATTCAGCCTCTCGTTCCTCCACTTAAATTGTCCTCTTCGGTCTATTTCTGTTCGCTAGTTTCCACTACAGTCCTTCCCTCCATCTCCCACGTTCTTGGTGCGACCACATTTCTCTCGTAGGCTCTGTGAGCCTCTCTCGGTGGCATCCGTCAGCTTCTTGCGCGATGCCTCTAGTTTTCAGCTTCCCTCCTCCCTGAACCTCCCCGTCTCAGTCTCTCGCAGCTTTTCGTGCCTCCATTTCTTTCAGCCTAGGCCTCTTATTCACTCAGGTTCTCTCAGGGACGCTCAAGCACCATCTCCATCCGCTTTTCCCGACCCTCGGCCTCCTCCAACACATGTCCTCATCTCGGGATCCCCATCCACCCCTGCGCTCGACCCCAAGCTACCAGCGACCGGATCCCACTCCGGCCGCAGCACCCACGAACCCACGCAGGCGCCCCGCCCCCCTCACCTCCAACACCGAGGCGAACAGTTGAACTTCCGGTCTCAGTGCCCCTCTCGCGCCCGAAACCGGTCCTGCGCCTGCGCACGCCATCCCACTCGGCGCCTGCGCCTGCGCCTGCGCCTGCGCACGCTCCTGCCCCGCCTTGTTTCGGGCGGAGGCCAGGTTGGCGCGGAGGGCGCTAAGGGCCAGTGAAGGTGCTGCGATAGAGAGTTGCTGTGAGACACGCGTCTGAGCGGCCAGTTGCATTCTGGGATTGCCTGGACCCTGGGATTTTGACCCAGCAAGGGAGGTGGCGGGAGCCCAGACACTTTTTAAACATCCCCGAGATTTATTCATTGTAACTATTAATGCATAATTACCTTATCAGTTCACTAATAATCCAGCTCAACTCCTCAACTCCATGAATCCTGGGGCATTTCTGCCTTGGATGTCGTATGTTCTCAGAGTCTACCACAGGGATCGGAGAGTTGATATTTGCTGAATGAATAAATGAGAAAACTGAGTCCTCTTTAGTCCTACATGTGCCAGTCATTGCTAGACTGAGCCTCAGTTTCTCCGTTCATACCGAGGTTAAAATCTACTTTAAGATTCTTAGGAAAATAGATGAATAGCTATACATGAGGTACATAAACTTCTTTCACTACAGATAAGTGCTCGATAAATGTTAAGTTTTTATTATAGGATAATATTGCCGTTCAGAAGGTACAGCCTGAGAGGATCTGGAGTCAGATCTAGGCGCTGAGGCTACCTCAGTGAACAATACAGATCAAGGCCTTGCTCCCGTGGAGCTCACATTTTCATAGGGAAGACAGACACAGAGATCAAAGTAAATAGACTGTCAGGCAGTATTGCCTTCTCTGCGGAGCAAAACAAAGCAGGAAAGGTATGAGGAGCGATGCTATTTTAAGTGTCATGGTAAGCGATATCTAGAAAATAGCATTTGAGCAGAGGGCTGAAAAAAGTAAGGCAGGAAACCAGGGGCCCCAGTGGGAGAGATTTCTAAGTAGAGGAAACAGCAAATGCAAAAACTGAGGCTTCAAGGACCAGCAAGCAGGCTTGTGTGGCTGGAAGGAAGCGAGGGAATAACGGGGAGTAGACCATACAGCGTGGCCAGGACTTTGGCTTCTAACATGTGTCAGCTGAAAGACCTGGGAGGAATATGAGGAGAGGAGGAATGTGAGACATGATCTGACTTAGATTTTATCAGAATCCTCCGCTCCTCTGTTGGGAACAGACCATAGGGAACCACAATGAGAACAAGGGGACCCAGGAGGAGGCCGCTGGACTAGGTGAGAGATTGTGGTGGCTGAACAAGGATGATGACAGGGAAGATATTTTAAGGCAGAGCCTGGAGGGATTGGCTGATAGATTGGCCATAGAATGTAAGAGAAAACAGGCATCAAGGATGACCCCAAAGAGTCTGGCCTGAGTGCCTGGAGATATGGAGTTGCCATCAACTGAGATCGGGAAAATGCAGGAAGAGGGCTGAGAAAGAAAAAACTAGAGATTCCATTTTCATCATATTAAGTTGAAGTTAGGTATTAGACATCAAATTGGGTGTCAAGTGTTAAGATAAAAAAAGAGACCAAGCTTGCAAATTTTATTTCTCAATAACCAGTTTAGATATACAAACAAAGCTGAATTGAGCTTATTTTGCAAGACTAACTTGACTTGAATCACTCCTTGCTTATGTATCCGGAAATCATGAGCAAAACTTAAACTATTTCCCAAGGTGGGTATGAGGTAACCATTGACCAATTTACGGTTATTTAAGAAAATTCTAGTATTAAAAGCATTTGTATTACAATATGCTTTTATTAATTACTCTTCCGTGAGTCATTGGTTTTACTTCTGTTATTTCTGAACTTTTGACTAATCTTTAGGAAACAACTTGACTATAGAGAGGTTAAGTCACACATAACATTATCCAAAGAAGGAAAAGAAATTGACTAAACACTCTGTTTAAAACCTGCAAAAGAGAACTGTAGATTTTTTTGTTTTGGAGGAAGTAATTAAGTAATATGAAATATGAGATCTGCATAGAAGTCACAAACTATGGTTGAGTAACAAATTAGAAACTAATTCTTGGGAAAACCATTAAGACTTGGTTCTTTGAAAATTTAAGGAAATCAATACATTCATGGTAAAACTAAACAAAAACAAAAGAAAAAATAACAAGAAAAAAAGGAAGTTACAAAAAACAAGAAAGACTTTTTAATGATCAAGGAACTTCTGTGTGAAGTTGCACATAAATATGTTTAAAAGCATTCATAAAATTGATTCTTCTTAACAAAAAGCCTGATGCAATAAGAAATGAAATGAAATTTCAAAAAACATGAAGACCTTTTATAAAACATGTCAAAGAAGAGCTCTCTCTAAATGGCACCTGACCCCAGTGGATTAACAACAGAATTCCCCTCCCCCCACTTTTTAGGAAGTTATATGAATTGTCCCAGGACATAATTCATTCTACAAGTCAGGCTTAGTCTTAATAATTTATGTATGAGAGTTCTGAACAAAATAGCAAAGAATAAAATATGTATTGTTGAGGACCTACTATGTGTCCCTGTATCAGATAAAGAAAAAGAAAGATAGCAAGATAGAGACCCCCACCATCAGGGAGCTCACAATCCAGTCGGAAGAAAACATGGTGTAGACAAATAAAGATGGTCTGGCTCTTTTTAAGGCCTGGAATGGATGGAGAAGAGACAGAAATTAAAGGGGCCCATCCGGTCAAGACGGAGGCATAGGTAACTGCAGTGCTCGCATCCTCTCTCAACCACATCAGAATTACAACTAAACTACAGAACAACCATCATCTAGCTGAATAGAAATCCTACAACTAACGATATGTAGAAGAAACAACATGGAGACTGGTAAGAGAGGTGGAGACATGAAATGGGCTGGTCCCACACCCACGGGAGGTGGATAAAAATTGGGAAGGATATCTCAGCCACAGATGTCCCCCCTCCCGAGGAACACAGGATCCTGGCCCCACACCCTGCCCTCCAGCCAAGGTTCCAGTGCCAGGAAGAGAAATCCCCATAACTTCAGGCTATAAAGAACCAGTGGGGCCCTGGCTGGTGTGGCTTAGTGGGCTGAGCACAGGCCTGCGAATCAAAAAGTCGCCAGTTCGATTCCTGTTAGGGCACATGCCTCTGTTGCAGGCTAGGTACCTGGTTGGGAGCGTGGGAGAGGCAACCAATTGATGTTTCTCTCTCACATCGATGTTTCTCTCCCTCTCTTTCTTCTTCCCTTCCCCTCTCTCTAAAAAATATAAATAAATAAATTTAAAAAACAAAAATCATGGGGATTGAGGCTGAGGGGGGAAGAGTGTTTCGCGAGTCCCGGGCAGTTCCTCTTAAAGGCCCACGGACGGACTTACTTGGACTTGCTCCCTCTGAACGCCAGCTCTGGGTCAGCAGTTCAAAAGGCCCCAGGGACACAAGGGGAGGAACTGAAATTGTCTAGCTTCAGAGCAAGGGCTGGAAGGGCAGCTCTTTCCAAAACAGAAGTTTTGGCAGAGGCCATTGTACCTTTGCTAAGCCTGCCCCCTACAGAACGGGCAGGCGGGTGCCGTACCTGAGTCTCCATCACCTGGCTCACACAGTTTGCCCAGCCCTGGTGATTCCCTGAGGCTCTGCCCTACCCAGCTTGCAGGCCAACCCAGGCTGTTTCCAGTAGCTTTTCCATGCAAATGACCTGTCTTGGCTCATGCTTCAGACTTCCCTAAGATCTCTCAAACAAGCATCATCTGGCCTCAGTGTGCCCTGTGCCCCTTACTATGTGGCCCTAGGCCTGGCACTAGTGGCAGCTGGCATTGGTTCACAGGCTGGCATCTTCTGGGCACCTCCAAGCCCAGCACAAGTAGCAGCCATCTGCAGATCACTTTGTAGCTCATGCCCAGAGGCCCCTTGCAGAACACAGGTGGCAGCTGACCTTGACCTATGCCACCCTGGAGACCCCAGAGCCACCATACTCAGTAGGCAGCTTTAGATCACATCGAAGAACCACCCAACCACCTCCACAAGCAACACACTCAAGGGGTGAACTCAGTGGGCACCAGAGCCCTCCTAAAGTAATTCCTGCTCCATGGAGTGGGCGCCTGCACAGCTGCTCCTCCACGGTGGACTCAGCCAGTCCTTGCAGCTGATTGGCCTAAATCCCTCCCATTGACGAGCCAACAGCAATCAACTTTCAAGTACAACAAGAGGGTGGACATAGCTCATATGGGGGCAGGTGAGCTGGTATACCTGGAATGCCCAGCTCAGGTGAACAGCGAGGCTACACCACTGGCCCCTACAAGACACCTACTACATTAGGCCACTCTACCAAGTGTAGGAGATGTAGCAGCTCTACCTAACAAGCAAACACAGGAAGGCTGCCAAAATAAGGAGACAAACATGTCCCAAATGAAAGAACAGAACAAAACTCCAGAAAAAGAACAAAACAAAATGGAGACAAGCAATCTACTAGATGCAGAGTTCAAAACACTAGTTCTAAGGATGCTCAACTTAGTGAAAACTTCAACAGCATAAAAAAGGGACATGAAAACCATAAAAAAAGACCTGCTAGAAATGAAAGATATGCTAACTGAAATGAAGAATAATTTATAGGGAATAAACAGAGGAGAAGAAACTGAGAATTAAGTCAGCAATTTGGAATGTAATGAAGCAAAAAAACATCCAATCAGAACATCAAACAGAAAAAAGAATTTAAAAAAATGAAGATAGTGTAAGGAGCCTCTGGAACAACTTCAAGCATACCAACTTCACATCATGGAGGTGCCAGAAGGAGAAGAGAGAAAGCAAGAAATTGAAAACCTATTTGAAAAAATAATGACAGAGCCCCAGGTGATGGGCGTCATCCCGCACACCAAAAGGTCACCAGTTCAGTTCCTGGTCAGGGCACATGCCTGGGTTGCAGGTTCGTTGCCCAGTCCAGGTGCATACGAAGGGCAGCCAATCAATGTTTCTTTCTCACATCAATGTTTCTCTCCTTCTCTTTCTCCCTCCCTTCCCCTCTCGCTAAAAATCAAAAGTAAGATAAAATACAATAAAGGCTTACTGTGCCTTTAAAACAAAGATTAAAAAATAATGACAGAACAGTTCCCTAAACTGGTGAAGGAAATAGATGTCTAGGAAGCACAGAGAGTCCAAAACGAGATGAACTCAGAGAGACCCACACTGAGACACATCATAATTAAAGGCAGAAGATTAAAACAAAGAGAGAATCTTAGAAGAAGCAAAAGAAAAGCAATTAGTTACCTACAAGGGAGCTCCCATAAGACTGTCAGCTGATTTCTCAACAGAAATTGCAGGCCAGAAGGGATTGGCAAGAAATATTCAAAGTCATGAAAAGCAAGGACCTACAACCAAGACGACTCTACCCAGAAAAGCTATCATTTAGACTTGAAGGGCAGATAAAGAGCTTCCCAGACAAGAAAAAGCTAAAGGAGTTCATCACCACCAAACCAGTATTACAGAAAATGTTAAAAGGCCTTCTTTAAGAAGAAACAATTAAAAATATGAACAATAAAATGGCAATAAATGCATATCCATCAACAATTGAATCTAAAAAACAAAATAAATGAACAAGCAGAACAGAAACAGACTCATAGATACAGAGAACATTTTGACAGTTGCCAGATGGAAGGAAGTTTGTGGGGGTGAAAAATGTGAAGTGATTGAGAAGTACAAATTGGCTGGTATAAAATAGTCACAGGGATGTAAAGTAGAGCATAGGGAATACATCAATAATATTCGAATAGCTATGTACAGTGTCAGATGGGTACAAGATTTATTGGGATGATCACTTAATGAGTTATATAATGTCTGATCACTGAGTGTACACCTGAAGAAGAGAAGAGCACCTCTTCTTCCCAGGGAGGTGGATGAATTGGGGAGGGCTCACTGGAGAAAGCGTCATTTGAGCAAGACACTGAAAGAAAATTCCAGTGATTAAAAAGAGTATGGGCCACTTCTGTGTGATTTAAAAGATCTGAACAGGTGTGATTCTGGAGCAACCCTGACTAACGGAACTTTCTATGACGATGGAAATATTCTGTATCTGCTCCATGCAATATGGTCGTCACCAGCCACATGGAGCTATTGAGCCCTTGAACTGTGGCTAGTGCAACCAAGGACTAAATTTTTTATTGAATTAATTTGAATTTGACTGGCTATAGACAGCTAGTGGTGACCAGACCGGGTGGCACAGATCCGAGGGGTTTTCCAGGCAGTGGCACCAGCTTGAGGAAAAGCCCAGAAGTGGGAAAAGAACAGAGCCCAGGGGATCTGTATCAGTTTCCCGTGGCTGCTGTAATAAGTGACCACAATCTTATTGACTTAAAACAACACAAATTTATTCAATTAAAATCGTGGAGGTCCGAAATCTGAAATCAAGGCATTGGCAAGTTAGCATTCCCGTGGGAGGAGACAATCCATTTCCCTGACTTTTTCAGTTTCCGGAGGCTGCCTGCATTCCTTGGCTCCTGGCTCCTCCCCGTGTCCCTCTGTCGTCTACTTCCATGGTCATGTCTTCTGCTCTTCTCGACTCTGACCCTCCCGCCTCCCTCTTATGAGGAGCCTTGTGATGACATTGGGCCCACCCAGACACTCCAGGATTATCTTCACATCTCAAGATCCTGAACAAAACCAAGTCCGCAAAGTCCCTTTTGTCGTGTGAGGCCACATATTCACAAGTTTGAGGGATTAGGATGCAGACATTCTTTGGAGGCCATTATTCTGGCTGCTGCAGGGGACACCTAGAATATAAGCGTGTCCCGTGATGGAGGGAGGTCTCAAATATCAAGCTCTGGAGCTTGGATGAGGCCTTCCCTTCAAAATAGAATCCGTAACCTGTCACCTTCTCACCAGCTGTCCTGCCGTTACCCTGATTCAAGTCACCATCACCTCTTGCACCTCCCCTCCCACTGCCCTCCACCGTAGTCAGTCTGCACCAGCGCCCAGAGGGATCCTGTTAAAATCTAGGTCAAATCAGGACACCTCTCTGCTCAGAATGGGGTTGCCTGATTTAGAAAACAAAAACATTACAGACTGCTCAGTGAAATTTGAACTTCAGATGCACAACATATAACTTTTTAGTATAAGGATGTGTCAAATAGTGCATGCGCTATACTCATGCTAGAAAATTCTTTGTTGTGGGGGTGGTGTATCTGAAGTTCAAACTTAATTGGGTGTTTTGTATTTTATCTGGTAACAGTAGCTCAGGACATTTCCACGGGTCCCCGGATGCCTTCCTAAGGTCTAGAAGGCTTTCTAAGTTTGTCCCCCACCCCCACCCTGCACCCCTCTCCCTTCATCTCACACCCCTCTCCCTCTTGCTCTCTCTGCTCCATCCACACTGGCGTTTTCACTGTCCTTTGGAGTATGCCAAGCACATTCTGCCTCAGAGCCTTCGCAATTGCTGTTCCCTTTGCTTGAAATGCTTTTCCTCAGATTTAAACATGCGTCCTTCCTCCCTTCTTCAGATCTTGGCTCAAATATCACCTTACCCAAGGGGGATATTCTTTTTTTCTTTGGTCATAGTCTGTCTTGAGAATGCCAGCTCCCTGAGGACAGGGATTTGTGGCCGTTTTGGTCACTGCTACCGCAGTGTCTATAATAGGGCTTTGCATATAGCAGGTGCACAATAAATGTTTGCTCAGTGAATAGCAGAATAAATGATGCTCTCATTGACCCCTGGATCTCCCTATGCTTGAAGCCAGTTTTGTGACACGGGATGGTAGGGTATAAACCAGTTTCCCTCCGGCCTACACCTCCATCTCTGAGACAAGGTCATGGCTGGTGGATTTCTTGCTGACCTTGCTTTCATCTTTGCTCCATGACTCCCTCAGGGCCCAGAAACACGTGGCTGGCAGTGACCGGGAAAGTTGCGCCCGCCCGAAATACAGGAAGAGCACAGGATTGAGGCAGCTGTGAGCAAGGGCAAGGCCCACGACCAGGGGCTCGGCCAGCAGGGCCTGAGCCAGGAGCGTGGAGCGCGGGGCAGCTGCGGTGAGTACCAGCCCCAGGAGGTGGTAGGGGGCCCAGCAGACAAAAAAGCCCACCACAATGGCCGTGCCCAATGGCCAGCGGCGTGGGGCCGCATGGTACAGGAGGACACTGTGGCAGCTGATCACGACCACCAGTGGCCCCAGGAAGCCAAAAATAAACCGGATGGCGGTCACGCTGATCTCGGCCACGACCGAACCGCCATAGTCCACCACACACTCCAGCTGGGCTGGGAAGTGCTCCTGCTGCAGGCGGCGGTAGATGGCCGAGGGCACGGTCAACAGCAAGGCCAAGGTCCAGGTCACCCCACAGGCTACCTGCACCCTGCAGGCTCTCTGGGCCACAGCCCAGCAGCTGGGCCTGCGGGCCAATAGGCAGAGGTCCGCGCTGAGAGCAGCCAGCAGCAAGACGCTGGCGTACATGGACAGCAGGGTGACCGAGGGCAGGGCCCGGCAGCCCACAGCCCCATAAGGCCATTGGCCTCCGTGGGCCAGCGGCACCGACAGGACCGGGAGGGACAAACAGCAGAGCAGATCCGCCACGGCCAAGTGGAGTAACCAGGTGGCACCGACCCTCTGGCGGGCCTCCTTCCAAGTCACCCAAGCCACCATGGCATTGCCCGGCACCCCAACCAGGAAGACCACAACGTACAGCAAGAGGGAGACCACGCGGAGGGGCTTGCTGGAGACACAGCTGCCATCAACGCAGTCCACGGGGAAACCCAAAATCTCGGACTCGTCGCCATAGTGCTCGTACTCGTCGATGAGAGAAGTGTTCTCCATCCTGGCTCGCCCCGGACGCCTGGACCGGAGACAAAAGCCAGGAAACCTCAGCGATGAAACCCAGCGATGGGGTTCCTCAGGGTAGGAGCCCCAGCCCGTCAGTATTTTAGAAGCTGGGGCCATGGCTGGTATAGCTCAGTGGATTGAGCACCGGTCTGGGAACCGAAAGGTCGCTGATTTGATTCCCAGTCAGGGCACATGCCTGGGTTCTGGGCCAGGTCTCCAGTTGGGGGCATGTGAAAGGCAACCAATCAATGTTTCTCTCCCTCTTTCCCTCTCTCTGAAAATAAATAAACATTAAAAAAAATAAACTAGGATATGACAATGTTAGAACCTCGGCATGTTTGAATATTGGAATTCTAGAAATACCTAGCTCGTTGATATCTTGGAATTCTAGAATATTCCATCCTAGAACCCCAGTTAGAATATTAGAATTCTAGAATGCGAGGGTCAGAACACCGGCTGGGGATCATTCTGGAATTCAAACACACATGACAATATTAGGACCTCGGCTTAGGCGCATCTTGGAATTCTGGAACATTACAATGTTAGAACACGATTGTGATTAGAGATCTTGGAATTCCAACATATGATGCCAGTAGAGCCTTAGCCAATGGTTACCTGCATTCCAGAGCAGCCCCGCCCTGTGGAACTGCCCACGTTGATGGAAATGTTCTGTGTCTGTGCCGGGCACCGTGGGAGCGGCCCGCCACGGGGGAAGCTGAGCACCCAAAATAGGGCCTGGGCCACCGAGAGACTAAACTTTCCATTTTTCATTAGTTTTCATTAAGTTAAATAGCTACACGTGGCTAGTGGCTACCTTACTGGACAATGAAGTTCTAGAGCACTGACGTGTTAGAACACTCACCTGTTAGCAACATGGAATTGTGGAATTTAAAATGCTATAATCCCTGGCCTGGTAGCTCAGCTGGTTAGAGCGTCATCACAATGTGCCAAGGTTGCGGGTTCAACCCCCGTCAGGGTATATACAAGAATGAACCAATGAGTGCATAAATAAGAGGAACAACAAATCGATGTTTCTCTCTCTTCCTCTCTAAGAATCTTAATATCCATCAAAAGAGGGAAAGTTTAATATGTAGTCACCAAGCAAAAGTATTTGACGTGGTTCTTCTTTTTTAAATTTTATTTATTTATTTATTTTTAGAGGGGGGAAGGGAGGGGGAGAGAGAGGTGGACAAACATTGATCGGTTGCGTTTCCCAAGCCCCCAGCTGGGGACCCGGCCAGCAACCTAGTCATGTGCCCTGACCAGGAACCAAACTGGCGACCCTTAGGTTTGCAGGCCAGCGCTCAGTCCACTGAGCCACACCAGCCAGGGCTGACTTGGTTCTTCTGAATCTTGGTGCAATGGAAACATAACTGTGGAGCAATTTTCTCATCTTTTTTAAAACATACATGCGGCAAAACTAGTAAAACATGCAGGCAGCAAAGCACACACCTCACACAGGTACACTCGCTGCGTTTCCCAACTTGAGCATACCCAGGCCCCTGGCAACCAGGTCAAGAAACGGAACTAGAATCCTCCTGGAGCAACTTTTAAAAGTAATTATAGTGTTAGGTAAAGAGGAAAAATACAATGTCGGATTCTCTACAGTTTGCTCCTTCACTGAACACAGCTCCTCGCCTACTCCTGTGCGGTCAATGGACACACGGCAGGGGTCAAGTTAGGTCAAAACCCCCCTCTCCCTTGGAGCTGCCACTTCAGGGGGAGGAGTCAGACGGTAAAAGAATGAATAAGCAAAACACCCAGTATTTCCGAAGGTGACACAGCTGTGGCAAAGAGGCGGGGAATCCAACAGGGCATTTTTAATTTGCTATGTTGGACTTGTGAATGAGTGGTCAGGGGTCGCTTCTCTGAGAAGGAGACATTTGAGCAAAGCCATAAAGGAGATCAGAGAGGGAGCTGTGTGGGGATAGAGGGGACAGCCAGTGCAAAGACCCTGAGGTAGAAATGTGATGGCCGTGTTCAAGGAACATCAACAAGGGCAGTGTGGCCAGAGTGAAATAGACGAGGGGGTTGCGGGCGGTAAGGACAGAAAAATATGAAGGGCTGTATGGGACATTTAGGACTTTATCTTTTATTCCATGTGAGATGGAAAGTATGGGAGAGTACAGAGCAGAGAAGCAACATGATCTATCATAGCAATAATAATAATAACTATTGTTGGTATGATTATTGACACTTTTTTATTCTCACCCAAGGACCTCCTCTTTTTCATTGCTTTCAGAGAGAGGGGAAGAGGGGGGACAGAGAGAGAGAGAGAGAGAAAGACATCGATGTGAGAGAGACATCAAGTAGCTGCCTTCTTGTACGCACCCCACCTTGGGAATCGAACCCACAACTTGAGTATGTACCGTGACCGGAAACTGAACCTTAGACCTTTGGTCTATGGGACAAGGCTCCAACCAACCAAGCCACATCAGCTGGGGCTGATTATTAACATTATTATTAGAAGCCATCATTTATGGAGCACTTCATGTTATATGCTGGGCATTGCTCCAAACACCCTTATATATCATATTGTTTAATCCGTACAACAACCCTCCGATTTTAATGCCATTGTTATACCCATTCTGCAGATGAGGAAACTGAGGCACAGAGAAGTAACTTACCTAAGATCGCTCAGCTAAGCAAGTAACAGAGCTGAGTTTCGAACTGTGTTAGCCCTACTCTAGAACTCCAGGCCCGAGAATACTATCTTCCAAAAATCTTAGATCCGGGAGGGAGAGGAGACAGGAAAGCCAGCGGCACTGAGCAGACCCCGGCTCTGTGACTCCATTTCAGTTTAGCTTGTCTTTCTCTTGGTTTCCGTGTCTGAGAACTGAGTCACCCAGGCGAACCTGCTTCACTGGTTTTGGGAGGCCTTGAGGTGTTAATAGAGCACTTGGCACAGAGCAAGGGCTAAGGGAGATGGTGGGTGTGTCAGAGCCCGAAGCTCCCTGCTGACTCCGGTGCTGGGCTAACACAACCGGAAAGGCAGAGAGGAAGTTGGGGCACCACCCCCTGTACCCTGCCTCAGGTAGGTCCCAGAGTTCTTAAGTCGTTCCTGAGACGCTAAGCCACTTTGTGTGTCTGTTTGAAGTGTGGCACTCTGTTTTCATATTATTTTATTTATTTTTTTAATGTATTGATTTGAGAGAGAGAGAGAGAGAGAGAGAAGCATCAATTTGATGCTCCATTTATGCATTCATTGGTGCTTCCTGTGTGTGCCCTGACTGGGGATCGGACCGGCAACCTTGGTGTGTTGAGATGATGCTCTAACCGAATACCCAGCCAAGGCCGTTTGCATATTATTTTCATCACTAGAGAGAAAATGGGTGTGGGCTTTAAAAACTCAAACTCTGCCCTGTGGCTGGTGTGGCTCAGTGGACGGAGTGCTGGCCTTTGAACTGAAAGGTCGCCGGTTTGATTCCCAATCAGGGCACATGCCTGGGTTGTGGGCCAGACCCCCAGACGGGGGCGTGCGAGAGGCAACCTATTGATCTGATGTTTCGTCGACATTTCTCTCCCTCACGGGGAGCATTAGACACAGGTCAGGCTGTCACTGCCATCTGCTGCTGGGGCGCATCCTCTCTCCCCACCCTACGCTTCTCCCTCCACTTTCCCCAGATCTTAGTGATTAAAATCCGGGAAATTCCCTGCATGTAAGCAATTCAGGCAGCCTATGTATGTTATTTCCCTTTTAATGTATCAAACAGAAATGGGAACATTCAATGCCCACTCTGTCATCCCTCCATCTTGTCCCCTTAATGTGTCTTCGCTCTATGTCCCCATCTGCACACGCATCGTTCACAATGGCCTCAAAATCAGGCCACTCTCTCTGGGCGCATCATGCTTATTAACCAGCCTCAGACAAGTGCCATTTAATGATAATCAATGAGTAGCATTATTATTTTAGACAATAAATTCTATTTGTAAAACATATCAAACATAACTGTCATGATTATTACTTTGTAATAATTCAAATAATAGGTAACATTTATTGACCACGTATTACGCACCAGGTGTAACCCTTGTAACAATCCTATGAGGTAAGTTTTCACTGTTATCCCCATTTCCCAGAGTGTCAGCTCTCCGCTGCTGTGTCGGGCATCTGGCACATAGTAGGTGCTTAGCTGATATTTGGCCAGCAAAAGAATGAGGAGGGAAATGGGGACACAGAGAAGCTAAGGGTCACTTAGGTTTCTGATCGTTCCTCGCCGATGGAAATACGCGCGCGTTTGTCCCTCAGCCAGTCTGGCAGGAACTGCTGCTCTGGGAAGCCACGGGGCAGAAGCCACCGAAGCTGAACATACAAGAGAGACCCAAACACACGCACTGGGATGTCCACAGCAGCCCGAGATGGAAAAGCATCCCAATATTCACCCCCAGGAGCATGAATAAACACACCACGGTGTGTGCACGCAGTGGATCATGAGAACAAACGCAGAAGCGTGTCCTGTGGAGGGGGGAAAGCCCGGCACACAGGAGAATTTACTGGATGATCCCATTCACATGCAGTTCAAAAAAAGATAAGAGAGCCCTGACTGGTGTGGTCAGTGGGCTGGGCATCATCCCACAAAGTGAAAGGTTGCAGGCTTGATTCCCTATCAGGGCACATGCCAGGGTTACGGGTTTGGTCCTGGATTGGGGTGTGTACAAGGCAACCAACCGATGTTTCTCTTGCACATTGATGTTTCTCTCCCTCTTTCTCCCTTCCTTCCCTTCTCTCTAAAAATAAAGAAAAAAAATTCTTTTTTTTAATGAGCAAGAGAATTCTAGGGGCGGTGGATAGTGACAAGGGGTGGGGACTGAAGGGACTCTTGACCCCGGGTGCCAGTTACCTGGGTGTTCAGCTCCTGGAGATGCACAGAGCTGCCTGGTCCCAGCGTGCGTGCCTTTCTGTGTCTATGTGAGACAGGAAAAGCAAGATAAATGACCTTTCTTAAGTGGAACGGCTGAGCCGAAGGGCCAGTTCACGGGACACAGGAACCCTTCGGGGGCTTTGCCAGCCGGCGCAGGTTTGAGAATGGCCGTCTCCTGGGCCCCTGAGTGTGCCGCTTGGCTGGGATCCTTTGCAACACTTTCCTGTCGGGCTGCCCAAGTGCACCCAAGAGACTGGGCTTCCGACATGCATTCCACTGTGAGCCTGATTAAGATTCCATTCCTCACGTTCAAGCCCCGATGCCCAGATTCTGGAAAGAATCAGCCTCCTAGGCTGAGACTGTGAAATCCACCCCCCACCTTCCTCCTTCTCTCCTTCCTCCTTTTCCCCTTCCTCCATCCTTACCGTCTCTTGCAAGAAAGTCCCCAATTTGGCCCAAGTATCACTTGGAAGCAGGATCTGGATCCACAGCCAGGGCCCTGGAGGTCTGGGGCCTCGCTGGTGTGTCTGGCACCTGGCGGCTTCCTGGAGTGTGTCCCGTTTCCCTGGGCTCCTATAAGACACAGCAAATCTTCATAACCGGGAAAAATAGGAGTGTCCTTTTCCCATTCCCATGGTGTGTTCGTCCCACGTGACTCACACATCCCAAAATTACCGGGCAGCAGATGAGGTCAGAGAGGGCTGCGTGGGTGGAGAATGGACGGTGCCCCCCACCCCAGTCTCAGTGCCACCAGCTTCCCAGAAGCCAGACCTGCACCTCTGAGGCGGGCAGGTTGTGGCTGTCGCCACAGGGCCCTCGGAGGCCCTCCTCACCATCCACCCACTGCCTGCCACCCCGCTCCCAGCCCCTGACCTGATGCCCAGCCCCTCCCGCCTGCCCTCCACAGAGCCCCGGGGACACATAAATATTTGCCCTTCCTCTCCTGTTCTGAGGGAGATAGCTCACGGTCATGTCTGTTAGGCAGGATGGACAGGAAGCCAAGGCAGGGCAGGCGTGGAGGACGAGTCCCGCCCACTGACTCAGCTGCCCTGAGCCTGGTCCGATGAGATTGCCAGGTGTCCGACGTCGCGGGAAACACCACAACAGGGCGGGTGGAGGACTTGAAATGCTGCGTGTGCCGTTACCGTTACCGCTGGCTGGGAAAGAAGCCTTTGACACTCTGCCTTCGTCCCAAAGTCCAGGGAGGGGACAGGAGGGGGAAACCTAGAAGCTGACTGTAAGCATGAGATCCCCAGAACCCCGATAATGGGACGCTCAGGCTGGCCAGGTGCCTCCTTGTAGCTTCGAGCTCCAGTGTCTTTCATAAATAAACTTGCTATTTCATTTCCACTATACGTGTTATCTCTTACTTGAATTTTTCTCTTGCAAGCAGGGCAAGAACCAAGGAGGGGGAGCCCCCTAACGCGGGTCTCCCTGGTAACAACGTCCTCTGCAAAAAAACCAAGGCTGCTGACAGCAGAGCCTGGGGTCTCAGAGCCACACAGAACACAAGCCCTGTCTCCTCTGTGGGCCTCAGTCTTCCAACTTTAAAATGGGAAGGTGTTGCCCCGGCTGGATGGCTCAGCTGTTTGCAGCATCATCCCATACACCAAAAGGTTGCGGGTTGGATCCCCGGATCAGTGCATGTACCTGGGTTTCAGGTTCTACCCCCGGCGGGGGCGGGTACGGAAGGCATCCGATGGGTGTTTCTCTCTCACATCAACGTTACTCTCTCTCTCTCAGTCCCCCTTGTCTCTTTAAAACCAATAAACATATTCTTGAGTGGGGATTAAAATTAAAAGTAGGTTGGAGAGACGCATACTTCTCTCCATAGGTGGGTACTTAATAGTAATCAGTAACCTGTGCAGCACATAGAGATGGTATTTGGGGAACGTGGTACCATGAAGGCTCTGTGGTCTCTGCTGTGGTGAGTGGCTGTCCCCCAAGGGGACTGGAGAAGGTCACTCTGATGCAAAGGTATGTTATCTCATATGCAAAAAGCCAACAGACAGCCTCCCTTAAGGGAAAGACTGACTTGTGTCAAGGAATCTACCGGCCCCAGATGGGACTCCCACTGTGGCTTGTTTTCAGTCAGCAATTTCTACGTTCAGACCATCCTGTGTTATTTCTTCCGGTCTCTGAGTTTGTAAGGCTGCCACAAAGGCCTTCCCTGAGCTGATCAGGGTGAGTATGGGCCCTTTGGTCATCTCAGTGCTTCAGAGTCTGAGGGCACAGGTCTATCTATTTCTTTGGCTGTTTAGAGAGTAAGTTCATGCTGGTAGAGGAAGCTGTTTCCGGAAGTTTCTAGGTGACCTGGGGCACCTCCAGGTCTTTCTCTGGGGGTACCCTGTCGTGGCCGAACCTAGCCCCAGACCCCTGTGGAAACGAACATTCCCTTTCCTCCCTCCCCCCGCCATTCTGTGGCTTCTTCTGTGGGAACCCTCTCTGGTCAGAAAAAGATCAGAATTTAAAAGAGCAGAGGGCGGCGTCTGTGGGGACTTTTATCAGCTCAGACTTTCTTTGATCTGAAAAGTTTACAAGTCTTTCAGATCATTTTGCAACAGGGGACAGCTAAAAGGGGGTTTGTAATGGGGTCCAGAAATTGGGGTGTCCAAGAAAAAGATAGCATATTCTCACACGCCCCCCAAGGGGAGCTGCCAAGGGGGATGGGAGACAGGGAGCGAGGCCACGGAGAGTGACTTTGCACATCAATAACAGGTCAATAACAGGCCAAAAACCATTGCCAGTGGTACTTTGAACATCAACCACAGGTCGGCTTCATACCTGACTTGGGGCAGGGCCCGTGGCAGTTACTCTGAATATCAACACAGGCCAGCTTCACCCCGGACAAGGAGCAGGGCCATTGGAGATTCATTTTGCATGTCAATCGCAGGATAGCTTCATACCTCGTATACAAAAGTGGTTATTGTGCATCCCAACAAGGCTAACCAGGAAGGTTTGTAACGCTTAAACCCAGGAAGTAGCCACGGAGGCCAATCCCCCTGTTGCGGCCCCGCCAAAGGAGTGGGAGATGGGGTTGCTGGGGAGGATTCCCACGGGGGTTGAGACCCAGGCGTGGCAGCCATGCTAGAGGCTTTTGACCACGCGGTTTTGGGAGCTGAGTGGGGGGCTCCCTCGATCACGTGGCTGAGGAAGCAGAAAAGCAAGATGTAGCGGCCATGCAGGCGGCTCCCCCAGTTACAGTGTGAGTGCGTGAGAGCTCGGAGGCGGTTTGCTCCACGCCGCGAGGGAACAATGCGAAGACCGTGCGGGAAGGAAAGGAGAGAAAGGGCTCTTGCTATGGGCCCTGAGAAGGTGCCGCGCGGTTCTGAAAGGAGAACTGGAGAGCGCGGCGAGGCGGCAGACGGTGCTGGGGACAGCGAGAGGCCTGCCCGGCCGGGCCCGGACTTCTGTTTTGGTTTCTTTTTCCTGAAGGAAGGTCCCCCTGACTGGGCAAAGAGGGAAAGACAGGACTGTGTGTGCTGGTGGGTGTTTTAAAGGGAGTTTGAGATTTAACGGCAACATTTAGCCATGAATCAAAACCTGTATAACTTTTTAATAAATAGTTCCTTTCCTTTTCACCAAACTCTGCCATTGAGAGGCATAATTTCAAGGGCGGTGGGCAAACGAACCTAGAACAGAGGGACCCTGGGGAAGGGGGGCACTGTTCTGGTAACAGCAACCGGGGCTCCCCACACAACAGGTCTCCGTTTGGTAACAATTTGACCTTTTTAAAAAATATTTTACTTATTCTTAGAGAGGAAGGGAGAGAAACATCAATGTGGGGTTGCCTCTTGTGCACCCCTTACTGGGGACCTGGCCCGCAACCCAGGCCTGTGCCCTGACGGGGGATCATACCAGCGGCCTTTCGGTTCACAGGTCGGCACCCAATCCGCTGAGCCACACCAGCCAGGGCAGAGATGACTTGATCTTAAAAATCTCCTCGGCTACTGAGTCTCAGGGCATGTTTCTCAGATCCTGGAAGGCTAAGGCTTTCTGGTATCCCTGAAACTGGGGCCCAGGCCTGGGGGGCGTTGTGGGCCGAGGACAGGGTCTCTGTACATTAACACATGGAGAGACTTAGAACGAGGACACCCTCAAAAGCTGACCCATAGGAAATTGACATGTCTGGGCCTCACCACGGCTTCCGAAAACAGATTAATGCTTGTGTTGACAGGAGAGATCTGGTTCTTCTTGCTGACACACGTAAAGAATTAGAGATCAGTAAATCGTCCTTTAGAAGAAAACAGAAGTCCGGGGCTGGGCTAGGCAGGCCTCTCGCGGTTCCCAGCACCATCCGCTGTGTTGCTGCAATTTCCAGTTTTTAATCCAAACCCACGTGGCACCTTCTCCTGGTCCACTAGCAAGAGTCCTTTGTCCCCTTTCCTTCCCTCACGGTCTTCGCACTGTCCCCCCATGGCAGGGGGTGAACCATCTCTGAGCTCGTGCACACACGCTGTTACCTTGGCTGCTGCCTGCATGGCTGCTGCATCTCGCTTTCCTGCTTCCCAAAACCATGTGGTCACAAGCCTCTATCTTGGCTGCTGCTCCTGGGTCCCAACCCAGGCGGGAATCCCCCGACCCCATAACCCCATCTCCTATTCCTCTAGCAGGCACCATAATGGGGGGGGAGCGGGGGCTGCTTGCCCAGTTACACCCTGGGTTAAATTTATGCAAACCTTCCTGGTTACTTTGTTGATAGGCAAAACAACCATCTTTGCATATGAGGAACGAAGCTCTCCTCCTGTTCTTGACATGCAAAACGACTCTCAAAGGACCTGCTCCCTGCCTCCCATGCCCCACAGCAGCCCGCCTGCGGGGGGGGGGGGGGGGGGTGAGAATATCCAATATTTTTCTTGGACAATCCCATTTCTGGATCCCATTACAAATCCCCTTTGAGGGGGGCCTAGCTGCACCCTGTTACACTCGCCAGGGGTTGGGGGGCGAGGCGGGAGACCAGACAGTGACTGCTCCGTAGGTGTGGGGGGCTACTTTGGGGGTGACGAACATACCCTGGAACTAGACAGCGGTGTCAGTTGTACAACATTGTGAATATGCTAAATGCCACTAATGGTGAATTTTATATTGTGCCTATTTTACAATTTTAATTTTAAAAGTCATAAATAAATGAAACGTTGCACCACCCTCGCCAGAATACGGTGAAGTTTGGCAATTTAATGGAATTCTAGAAGCCTGAAAGGGTGAACAGCTAAGATGGGGACACCAGTTGCTTTTGAACATGAACAATATATCTTATTATGTAATGTTTGATGCGTGGAAAGGAATGTATGGAACTTTACGTGTACGTTATAAAGTACAACAATGAAGTAAACATCTGTAAATATCCAGATCAAGAGTCAGTGGGCCGGAGTTGGCTCACAGGCAGGGGTTTGCTGACCCCTGAGCTAGATCAAAGACTCCATCTCTGAAGGCTAGAGTGTTGGAATCCCAGGCTCTCAGAAAGATGGAATCAGATGTTATTTGACCCAAGGGATCCTATCATGTTAGTCAGAGACTGACTATTTGAATCACGAAATTCTAGAATGTCACACCAGAACCTCTGGGTGTTAGAAGTACAGGGCTCCATGGTAGAATTTTGTAGATGGTCACTAGGTAAAGAATTCCAGCTGTGAGTTGTCCAACACAGTAGCCACTGGCCGTGTGAGGCTACTGAGCATTTCAGATGTGTTCGATCTCAGTGAGAAGCTGCTGTGACTATAAAATACACAGCAGATTTCCAAGACTGGGTGCAAAAACAAACTAACAACAACAAAAAAAAACAACACTGAGACGGTGAGATCTCTTAATAAAGTTATTTATATTGATCTCATATTAAAATGATAATATTTGAAATACATTTGAGTCAATGAACTGTATCACCCAGATTCATTTTACCTCATTCTTTCTGTTTCTCTTTGCTCGTCTGTTGCCTGGCTGCCGGAATTACATTCTTAGCAGATAGAGCTGATCTGCAGGAACAACCCCCGCCCCCCCAGGGCGTGGGTGTAGGGCTGAGAAGGGCATGTGGCCTGGGTGCAGGGGAGGAGGCCCTGACCAGGCCTCTGGGAGCCAGGTCTGAGGAGCAGGGGACTTGGTGGCAGTAACACAGCTGATTCAGCCAAACCCATCATCTGCTTCCTTTCCCCACCACTTCCTCTTCCAACTTGTTGAACCAGCAGACTCCTAAGCCACAAATTTGGCAACTGCCTGGCCCTTCAGCCCACTTCCCTCCTGGCCAGGGCCTGTAAACACCAGGGAGAGGCTGAAGAGAAGCCACCCAAATCCCACGTATTGACCTCCAAATGTTGTGGGGCCCAGCTCTTGGGTCAGCATGTCCTTCCCGAATCAGGATGAAGGAAAGATTGCACTGCCTGCAGCTCATTCCCCAAACCAGGAAAGCTAGAGGATGGCCAGAGACAGAGATAGGGCAGGAGGGTGGAGAGATAAAGGAAGAAGTCAGGGAGGACTTCCTGGAGGAGGGTGCACCCTGAAGGAAAAGAGACTAGGGACAGGGATGGTCTTTTATAAACAGTCCAGGAAACTGGGAGACCAGGCAGAAGGAGAGGCAGGGACACAAGTGGGAGAGGACAGAGGACTTGGACCAGACAGGGAGTGTGGTAGGAAAAGGGTGGCATCCAGCATGGGAATACAAGGGGAACGGGAGGTTTAGGAGAAGATGCCAAGCTCAGTTTGGGCGAGGTGAGTGGTTGGGGAAGCCATGCCCAGAAGTGAGCTGTGAAGTTATCAGGTGAAATCTCAAAAGTGAGAAGCATGTTCAAGAGAGAGCTCCAGAAAGCCAACATGTAAGGGCAGAGAAAGAAACTGCAGAGGAAGCAGGGAAGGATCACACAGAGTGTAGGGGGGAAGGAGACAGAGCGAGAGAGAGTGCGCATGAACTGGCCAGGACTGGAGCCAGCCTGGGCGGAGGGCAGCGGGAGAGGTGTTGGCAGGTGAGGTAGAAGGAATCTCCAGAATCTTCCCTGGGGTACCAGGTGCCCCCGACCCAGGTAGCTCGGTCTGGTCTTCCCCTCAACAACGTTGCTTGTCGGGGAGTCTTCCCAGCAACCAACACTCACTATCAAAAGCCACACACATCCTCTTCCAGAAGCCCAGCCGAGCACCTGTCCTCCTAGGAGCTCAGACAGCATCTTTAAATAAAAATTGTACCCAAGGCAGACGTGGCTGCATGGACTCCGAAAGATCCTGGGCCAGCATCCCATGCTGAAGGGTGTCCCTTCAGCTCCATCTGCTCTTGCAAAGAGGGCGGAGGAGCCACCCCTATACTGTCTAATCCAGTGGCCACCAGCTCCTGAGCCCATGAAATGGGCCGGTCCGAAGTGGAACGTGCTGTGGGTGTAACATACACACCCACGGGATTTGGAAGACTTGCTGTCACGGGATAGGGACGAGCCCAGAACAAGTCTGCCTCAGGCCAGCCTCTAGTGTGTGATGGGTTCTTGACTTCGCATAGGAAAGATTTCACAATGCAAGTCCAGGTTTTGAGAGAATGTTTATTAAAGCTGGGGACAGTGAAACAAAGGAAGGATTTAGGGTAGAAGAAGCAACAGGAGAAAGACTAGGCGGGGCTGCTTTGGCTCCCCAGTAACGTGATAGGGAAGGAGTGAGCTGAGGCAGGGGCTGCTGTCAGCTCACTTGGAAGTCACAGAGATGGAAGTGAGCTAAAGTCAGGGAAAAGGGGGCTTTGGGGACAGGTTCCGGGGGTTAGCCTGGGGCGAGCTGCCACTGCCCACTGCTCCCCTGGTTGCAAATTTTGTGGGGACCCTTAGAGTTTAGGAGAAAGAAAAATGTTCAGGCTGGAGCCCTGGCTGGTGTGGCTCAGTGGGTTGAACACCAGCTTGCGAACCAAAAGGTCACTGGTTCATTCCCAGTCAGGGCCGCTGCCTGGGTTGCGGGCCAGGTCCCTGGTTGGGGGCATGCGAGAGACAACCAGTTGATGTATCTCTCACGCATCAATGTTTCTCTCCCTCTATTTCTCCCTCCCTTCCTGCCTCTCTAAAAATAAAGAAAGAAAAAATTTTTTAAAAAAGTTCATGCTGGAGAGAATGCTTTGGTGTGCTCTAGAGTGAGCCCTCACTGAGTCTTTGTCCTGAGGGTTTTTCTCTCTCCTGGGGGGGGGGGGGAATCTTAGGGGAGGCTTTCAAAAGAGTATTCATTAGCTTTCCAGGTGTTTCCAGGCATGCTTTTAATATGCCGATGCCTCAAACTGAGCAGAGGGTGGGGATTGGGATCGTTGGTCTGCTTTACTGTTTTACTTTTATCTTGGTCTGTCTGGCTTTAGTGGGGTTTTTGCTATCTGTTCCCCTGACTTCATCTGTCCTTGGGTTCAGCTGGCACAAATGGCATTAACTGGGCCTCTGTTCTCTAGCTCCCAGACCAGGCTGGTTGTACCCTCTGGTCAGGGAGGAGAGGCATGAACCACGTGTCCTTGATCAGGGGAGATAAGGTCTTGTGGTTCAATGGCTGCCTGTGAGTTGCTCTAGCTGTTTGGTCTTGTTTCATCTTCTTGTTTCAGTTTTCCCATCCCATTCACCCAGGAATTTTCCTAGCTTCTTACTATCCTGTCTCATTGGTACCAAAAAAAAAAAAAAAAAGTAAAAGATCTCATTAATAATTTTTTACACTGATTACATGTTGAAATAAAAATATTTTGGATATATGGAGTTAGGCAAAATATATTATTGCCTATATTATTATTATTTTATATATTAAATATCATATATAGTAATGCAATATAAATATATCATTAATAGTATTAATATTACTCTATATTAATACAGATACATTATATACATGACTATAGTATTTTGGTATTTTCCATATTATATAACTATATAGTTTATATATCATGTGATATAATTATATTTTTCATACTATGTAATTATAAATATTTTATATTATATAATTATATTTATTAAATTAACAAGTAATTTAATATTTAATAAATGTATTCTATAATATGTTGATGTATTCATTGATGTAGAAATGTATTCTATCATATAATGCATGATAATTATATAATATACTATTTATCATTGTTAATATAACATATAATTATATTACATCATTAAGTAATATATTACTATTATTTCATCTGTTTCTTTCTATTTACTTACTTACTTATTTATTTATGTGAGAGAGGGGAAGGGAAGGAGAAAGAGAGGGAGAGAAACATCAGCTGGTTGCCGCTCACATGTGCCCCAACTAGGGACGAAACTCGCAACCCAGGCAGGCATGTACTCTGACCAGGAGTTGAACCAGCAACCTTTCACTTGCAGGGTGATGCTCAATCAGCTGAGCCACACCAATCAAGGCTCATTTGTTTCCTTTTTAATTTTTTTTAATCCCTGCCCAAGGATATGTCTATTGATTTTAGAGAGAGCAGAAGGGAGAGAGACAGAGACACACACACAGACACACACACATCAGTGTAAGACAGAAACATCAATGTGAGAGAGAAATGTCTCCCATAAGCTTCCTGACCAGGGATCAAATCCCCAACCTACTGAGCCACCCGGCCGGGGCTTTTTTTAGTTTTATAATGTGGCGACTAGAAAATTTAAAAGCACCCATGTGGCTGACATATTTGTGTTGGCCAGTACTCATCTGTACAATATTTCTAGCAAATACGCACACACAAACTCACACTCACACACAATGCTACACAGAAATGTTTTACAATTATACACAACATTTTAACGTTTATTTTATTTTCATTATAAGTGATGTACACTCGCTTTTTACATAGTCAGAAGGTTACATGCCATATGATTCCATTGATAGGACATTCCCCAAAAGGCACAATTACAGAGATGGAGGCAGATCTGTGGTTGCCAGGGGTTCAGGACAAGGCTGAGGGAGGGTGGAGGGAAGTGGACGTGGCTAGAAAAAGGGACCACACAGGACCCTGGTGACGAAAGTGTCCTGTGCCTGGATTGTTTCGAAGTCAACATCCTGATTGTGATTTCATAACATTGTTTTGCAAGATGCTTTAACTGAGGGAAGTAGGTCAAGAGAGTCTACGATGCTGTCAATGTAAAGTGTTAATTTTTTTTTATGTGAGAGCAAACAGTAGTTTACAAAATAAAAACTTGAATTCTTATGCGATCCCATGGCCTGGAGGTATTGGAACAGTCCCTCCTCCCTCAGCTTTTAAAACGCCTTCCTCCCGCTTGACTGTCTCCACAACCACACACGTGTTTCTACTTAAGCCTTTTTTGAAACCCCGTTTAAGTAATATTTTAACTTATTTTCTTGAAATCAACTTACTTACAAAAGCTTAGTAGGTACATGTACTTTTCCTTTGTCCTAAACAAGAAACACTTTGGAGGTGCCAGTTAACATTTTCCACCTCTCCATAAAATAAATACATAATCATTTAAAATGTTTTTTTATTCGTTGATTTTTTTTTTTTTTTTGAAAGAGAGAGAAAGGGAGAGAGAGAGAAACATCGATCTGTTGTTCGACTGATGCATTCGTTGGTTGTCTCTTATATGTGCCCTGACCGGAAATCGAACCCAAAACTTCGGTGCATCAGGAGATAGCTGAGTTGTCAGCTACCGGGCCAGAGCCCAATGCACAACTATTTTTGAAAAGTTAGAATGTTTCCATTCCTCTGTATTCTATGACTTTGATGTATTTTCTTTACACTCTCTCCATCAGTGTAAACAGGTTGCTGTCTGAGGGTAATCTTGATACATGGGTGTCTGTTAGTTTTTCAAAGTCTTTCTATGAAGAGAAAGGTTGTATGGCCTCCAGAAGGAAGTGTTCATTGATCTTGGAATGAGGAAGAACACAGGAGAGTCCCCTAAAACAACACCAGTGCATCCAGGGCAGAGTTAAAGTAAGCAGAAGAGAATGGACGGAACGGAAGGCGGAGGGGCGGCCACAGCAGATGGCGGCCCGGGAGCCTCCCCTCACAGGACCTGGCTCTTCTGGGGTGGGGAGTCCGCCGTGGAGAGCGTGAAGGACTTGGACTCCCTGACCATAGACTCCTCGCTCAGCACGTTGCGGATCCGGGCGGGCAGAGACTTGAGGAAGCGAGCATGAAAGCCCTGGGCGGCCACGATGTAGATGATGGGGTTGATACAGCAGTTGATGTAAGCAATGGCGATGGTCAAGGCATCCACATATTTCGCATACTGGAAGGTCTTGCTCTTCCAATGGGAAAAGGTCAGGAACATCCCCGTTGTTTGGTAGGGCAGCCAGAAGACAAAGAAGCTCATCACTACCGCCACCACCACCTTGAGCGTCTTGGCGGAGCGCGTGGCACTGCGGCTCCACGCCCGGTTCAGAAGGAAGGCGTAACAGGTGGACAGAGTGACCAGCGGACCCAGGAAGCCCATGACCAGCCGGACGGTAGCCACGGCCCTCTCCGTGTGGCGCCCGCCTTTCCCGTAGTCCACGCTGCACATTTCCTTGTATGGAAAGGGATCTATGGTCACCTTGCGATACAGGAAGGAGGGGATGCTCAGCAGCAGGGCCAGGCTCCAGGCGGCGGCACAGGCCACCCAGGCCAAGCGGGCCTCTCTGAAGTTCTGGCACCAGACGGGATTAAACACCAGCAGAAAGCGGTCGGCGCTGATGACGGCCAGAAGCAAGATGCTGGCATACATGTTGAGCAGAAGGAGCGAGGGGATGATGTGGCAGGCGGCGTCCCCGAAGAGCCAGTAGTTTCTCTGGATGATGGTCACGAACAGGATGGGCAGCGTCAGGCAGCAGAGGAGGTCGGCCACCGCCAGGTTGAGAAACCAGACGGCGTTGATGGTACGCCTGGCCTCGAACCCCGTCACCCAGATCACCAGCAAGTTGCCTGGCACTCCCACCAGGAAGACGGCCGCAAAGACCACCAGGGCAGCCACGTCTGGAGGGCTCACCCGGTGGGTGTTGAGAGAGCTATCCACTGGTGCATTGGGGTCCCAGGTGAAGGTCTCGTAATCGTAATTAGTCACAGTGCTCACGTTGTCCTGGTGGGATCAGAGAGGCAGGGAGAATCTGAGGCAGGCAGACAGGCGCCGGGGCCGTCAGAGGGCCTCTCCCCGCCTCTTCGAGCCACAGGTTCCCCCGGGGACATGGGGGACGGCAGGGGCTGAGAGTCAGCAGGGGTCCCCTCCCACTTATTAAAACACAGGGTCCGGCAGAAGTAAGGCCTGCTTGAGTATGGCTGATGAGGGAAAAATATGGGTGTAATAATCTATAGCTTTCATTTGAACATTTCACCTAAAATGTCACAGGGTGTGCTTGAGTGTGACAGTGGTAGGTTATGGAATTACATGCTTATGATTTTGTAATAAAAGATTCGGTAAGGAAAAAAAAGGGGCGTTACTTAGGCCGGACCCTGTATTGAAAACCATCCCATGCTGATGGGACCCCCTGCCCCCCACCACCTCCCCGTGAAGTCCCTGGGCTCCCCCGTGACTGGGCAACCAAATGCATAGAGCCCCGCCTGCTGCAGGCTGCGGGCGCTCTGCGTTCTCATGGGTTGGTACCCAGGATGTGCTGCTGGTTAGGTATTTTTAACATCACCAACAGGCTCATATGCTATAACTAGAGTTACCTCCTACTCCACCATCACCCCCTTTTGCTGACTTTCACCCACAGGAGCAGCTCCGTTTGGCCTGGGGGTGGCCACCTAGAGAAGGCAGTGGTTCAGCGGCGTCCCGCGCAGTGTCCTGTGCAGTGTCCTGCGCAGTCAGGCACAGCGCGTAGGGGAGGGGGGAGGGGCAGGGCACCGAAAAACCAAGGCTTCAAGACAAATAATACCATAATGCAATAGTTTTTCTTAAATCTTGCTGTCTTTCCTTCCTCTGTTTTTAAAATATTCTATTGCCCTGACCGGTGTGGCTCAGTAGGCTGGGCATCATCCCCAAAACGGAAGAGTTGCCAGTTCGATTCCCAGTCAGGGCACATGCCTGGGTTGCAGGCCAGGTCCCCGGTGCAGGGCGGGGGGGGGCGGTGCGCAAGACGCAACCACACATTGGTGTTTCTCTCCCTCTTTTTCTCCCTCCCTTCCCCTCTCTCTGATAATAAATAAAATCTTTAAAAAGAATCAAAAACACTTCTCCACACAGATGGATGTACCTCTATATTCATTTACGATCGCCAAGACACGGAAGGCACGCAAGTGTCTCTCAGCGGATGACTGGAGACGAGATGTGGTACATATGCTATGGATACTGCTCAGCCATCAAAAAAAGACAAAATCCTGCCATTTGTAACAACAGCCATGGATCTTGAGAGTATCACGCTGAGTGAAATAAGTCAGAGCAAAGGACAAGAACTGTATGATTTCACCCATACGTGGGCTATAAAACACAGCAACCGTACAGCAGAGAGAATATAGTCAATAATATTGTGGTAACTATGTATGGTGTCCAGTGTGCGCTAGACTTATCAGTGGGATACTTATTCTAAAAACATCTAACCACGATGCTGTCCACCTGAAACTAATATAAAATAACAATGGATGTTAACTGTAATTAAAGAGAAATTTTAAAACTCGATTGTAAGAGAAAACAAAGCAACGAAGGAACAAAACAAACAAAATAAAACCATGGATACAGACAATGGACTGGTGGGTACGGGGTTGGGGGAGGCGGGCGAGGGGGAGAACAAAGAAGGTAAAAGGGGGTCAAGTGCAAGGTGGCAGGAGGAGACAAGACGCTGGGGCGAGCACGCCATATACAGGTGTCGCATTATAAAGCTGTACACCTGAGATTTAAATAATGTTATTAAGCAAGGTGACCCCAATATGTTTAATTTATTTTAAAAAATCCATGGTAGAAAAAAGTTCAAATACAGACAAAAGGCTCCAACTGTTTGCTGGTTTCACAAAGCCGCGCTGTTGCGCAACGGGCGCTGCGCAGGCAGCCCCCCTAGACTGCGCGCCCAGTCGTCTCGCCGGTTGACAACATGTGCAAGTGTAGCAGCCACCGCGGACCTTTCGGTGCAGTCACGCCGTTGGGGTCTTCGGGGTTTGCTTTTATTTTGGGGGGAGGGGCGGCTGGTAGAGCTTTTTTGGCTTTTCCTACCTGGTTCAGGCTATGGGAGCACACTCTGCTAGGCGTAGATGGGGCGCACGCGCGCGCTTGTGCCCTGGGCTCCAGGGCAACTCAGCTCAGATCCCGACTGTCCCGTGTGAAGCCCACGTGGCCCTCAGCCGGTTCCGTGGCTGCTCTTGGCCTCCGTTTCTTCCCTAGTCAACTCCTAGCAGGGCATCCCAAAGCCTCAGGCTCAGGGCAGAGAGGAAATGTTTGGGGACAGCAAGAGAAAGAATAAGAAATAGGAATAAGCCCTGGCCGGTGCGGCTCCGAGGATTGAGCCCCTGCCTACGACCCAAAGGGTCGCCAGTAGGATTCCCCGTCAGGGCACAGGTCTGGGTTGTGGGCCAGGTCCCCAGCAGAGGACGCGCAAAATGCAACCACACTTCGATGTTTCTCTCCCCCTCTTTCTCCCTCCCTTCCCCTCTCTACAAATAAATAAATAAAATAAAGAAGGAGGGGGGGGGAAGGAGGAGAAGGAGAAGAAGAAGAACTTTATTTAAAAAAAGAAATAGGAATATGAGGTGCTCTCCTTGGAGTGCGCCTGTGCCCTTCTCTCAGGCATGTACTTTTTTTTGAAATGTAGGGGCCCCCATGGGACTTGCCAGCAGGGGGACGGTGGGCAGCAAAGCGCCTGCACCGGCCCCCAAGGCCCCTTCTCTCTGACTCTCCCTGAGCCACAGCAGCCCCGGGCTCTCCTGCTGCTGCTTCTATGCTAGGCCCTTCCTTGTTTCACTGGCCCAGCTTTAATAAGTGTACTCTGAAATAAAAAATAAAAAAAGGAAAAGAAAGGAAATAGGGCTAAGCAATAGATCTCCCCCTTGCTGGAGGGAGGGCAGAAGGAATGAAAGGAAAATGGAAGGATGTGAGTTCGAGAATAAAGGTTATTGCCCTGATGGGCGTGGCTCAGTGGGCTGGGCATCGGCTCTGCAAAGCAAAAGGTCATCGGTGGACTCCCAGTCAGAGCACATGTCTGGGCTGCAGGTTCGATCCCCAGTCAGGGCGCGTGTGAGAGGCACCCAATCAATGTTTCTCTCCCTTGATTTCAACCTCACCTCCCCTCTCTCTATAAATAAATAAGTGAGAACCTGTTTTTAAAAAAGAGTCAGTGGGGGAAAGTTGCTCCTTAAAGAAGAATCTAAGAATAATAGCTGCAGGAGGAATGATAAAATTAGGAAAATAAAGGATCTGCATAGTGATCATTGACATCTGATCAAAACAGGTGGAAGGCTGACCACAACTTGATGATAAATGGGTCAGGCTGGGACCTCAAACCCACCATCAACCTCCGCACGCCGTGAAGAGAGACATTCAGGCATCCGTTCTATCTGATGTGACGCAGCGGAGAGGACCCAGGATCTCCTCTGAATTCCCCGCAAAATGGAACAGGAATCTAATCAAGGTTCTAAATCTAAAACTATCAGATTACAGGAAAATGGGGAGCGGTGGGGGCGGGGGGAGGAATGTAATGAAGAACACCACCGGGACCAGATGAACCCAGCAAGGTGGTGGAAACACCGCAGTATGAATGAAATTGGCCGGGGGCGCGAGGGGGGGGGGGGGGCCTCCCGCACGCACATAAACAGCATTTCTCAAGAAGTAAAGGGAAGTGTCATGGACTCAAAGAGATCTAGGGGGCGTACCAACCAAAGGCAGCATGGAGACCTCATTTGGATCCTGATTGGAATAATGGACTGGAAAATAAGACAGTTCTGAGACGATCTGTGAGATTTAAAAGCAGACTGGGTGTTTGACAATAGTAAGGGATCGTTGCTACTTTTATTAAGGGCGATATGGCATTGCGTTTATGTTTTTTTCCAAAAAAGACAGCGAACGCCTTTTCAGGTAAAGAGACGCAGCAGGTGACATAGGATGGCTTGGATTTGCTTTAAAACCCTCCAGCCAAAGAAAAGGGAGGGAAAGAGGACGGGGTGGGGGTGGGGAGGGAGGAGGAAGAAAGGAGGGAGTCGCTTACAACTGTTGGAGCGGGGTGATAAGTACCCTCAGGGTTCATAACATCATTTTCTCTACTTCTGTGTGTTTGAAATTTTCCATAATAAAAGAAAGAACTGAGGGGTCCTGAGCACTTTCTCCCAGTGGAGCTGCTGGGGGCTGTCACGCTCCCGGGGAAAAGATGCTGAGGTGGCAGGTGGGCTGGAGAGAGCCTCGCGTGCAAATCTGTGTCCCAGAGGCGGGGATCGGAACGATCAAAATACGCAGCCTGTATTTAGAGAGCACCTACTATGTGTCAGGTGTGCAACCCCGACCATCACCCTAGACGTAGGCCCTATTTATATGCCCATTTTATTGATGAGAAAACAGAGGCACCCGAAGGTGCCTATTCTTTGTCACGCAGACAGGAATGCCAACGCCAGCAGGCCGCCCCTGCCCCTCTCCAAGGGGACTGTGGATGGGACAAGTGCTCTTCGGGAGTGAGCTCTGTGGTCCTTGAAGCTAGCCCATCACTGAGGGCCACTTTGTCATAAACCCAAGGAAAAGAGACAGAGAAATAGGAATCATCGTTAGAGAAATACCCGGAGTTGAGTTTTAGCACACCCTACCATGTGGGCTGAGGTTTACATGCACTGAAACACCCACCTAGCCGATGAAAAACATTCAAGCACCTAACAGAGTGCCCAGCATACAGTAAAGGCTGAGAAATGGCAGCCAACCCTACTATTATTTATCAATATTATGATTATCGAAGGACCGAGATCTTTCTCTGAACCAATTTTCTATTTCTGGTCCCTTTTCGTTATGTAAAGTCAGCCAGGCTGATGGTCACGGGTACTTGCTGGTACAGCCATACCCATGATTAAATTATTCCAAGGAGGGTGCCAGTGCGGGCTGCTGAGTGGGTGAGCAGGGCCCGGTATAGCTGTGCCATGGAATAGTATTCAGCCGTGAAAAGGAATGAAGTACTGATACAAGATACAATGTGGCTAAGGCTCAAAGACACTTGCTGAGTGAAGAAGGCAGACGCAAAAGGTCACGTATTATAGGACTGCACGAATAGGAAATGTTCAGAAAGGGAAATCGGTAGAGATCGGTCAGGGGGATGGGTTAGTTGTTCCCAGAGGCTGGAGCGGGGAGGAACGGGGAGTGACTGCCTACTGGGCCCAGGGTTTCTGCCGAGGGTGCTGAAAGTGTTCTGGAATTAGCCAGAAGTGACGAACGCACAACACTGAGTGTCCTAAACACCACTGAAGTGTGTACTTCACAATGGCAAGTCACATATTACGTGAATTTTATCCAATTCAAAAAGCTGCCGGCATCAAAGACAAGGAGGAGCTGAGGGACTGGTCCCTGTACTGTTCCTGGTGAATAGGGACCAAAGAGCCAAGACCAGGTGACAACCTGGACTGCTGCCTGGGGCGCAAAAAAGGAAGTCACACTCAAGGAAGTTATTCGGACTCGCGGTTGGATTACGGCCTGTAGGCGGGACAGTAAGGACCACGTATCCGGACATTGGTAATTGTGCTGTGCTCATGTGGGTGAATGTCTTTGTTCTTGAGAAATAGAGAGATCCACTTTCAAATAGTTCAGGTTAAAAAAAAAAAAAAGATAGGGCAAGCAAATTTGGAGACTCTGGGTAAAGAGTATAAGGGAGTTTTTCGTATTACTCTAGTCATTTTTCTATGTGTGAAAAGGTTTTGAAATAGAAAGTTAAAATTGTTGAAATATTTCCATCGGTAAGCAGCCTCTGCCCTGAGCCATCCACCCCTACCATCCCCATCCTCACCCCAGCACCCTGGTTTCCCAGTTTCTACTCTGGGGCCCTCCCCCGCCAGGTCCCCGCGCCCCAGGCATGAAAGGGTTAATGCCAGTCCCAACAGGAGGCCCCAGAGCCTGCTTGGGGTGGGCGCTGTGCAGGTCCTTACGGAACATGGAATGTTCTGTGGACGTGACACACGATGTTCCCTCTGCTGGTTTCACAAGCTACTTTCCGCCCTTGATAGAGGAATGAGTCAGGCCCTGAACGCGGGGCCTCCCCGCAGGCTCCCATTCTTCATCTCGCCCCTCATCAGCTGAGCCAGCTCAATCAGCTCTTCCTTCCCACTGCATGCGGAGAAAAACTGCTGATTCAAGCCCACGCTGTGGTTTCCCCTGGGGACCTTGCAGAGGGCTCGCGGAGTGTGGCCGTCACAGCATCGCTCGAGATTGGGCATAACCGAAGGGTCCAGCAACAGGGGACTGGCGAAATTTATGGTGGCCCAGCCAGGCAACAGAATAGCAGGCCACTACCAAAAAGAACGAGGAAGTTGACGCAGTGATGTAGAAAGAACTTCAAGATCTAGGGATATCAAGGGACAGTGTGCAAAGCTACCAACAAGGAGGAAACTAACTTTCCCTCTCTGCCCCTTTCTCCCCGCCCCCCATTATTATGGCTGTGCGTGTGTGTGTGCAGTCTCGCTCCAGAGGCAGACGGGGGACACTTGCAACAGTGGTCCCCCCAGGAAGGGGCTGTAGGGGCTGAGGACAGGCATCTGAAAAAAGCTTTGTTCTTCTTGTATGTAGAACCATACCAGTGAGTGCACTGCCCATTCCAAAAAATGGGTATTATATAGAATCTCTGAAAGGATGATAGCTCAGTTGGTTAGAGCATCATCCTGCTATGCCAAGGCTGCAGGTTCGATCCCCGGTCAGGACTCATACAAGAATGAACCAATGAATGCATAAATGGGTGGAGGAACCAATCGATGTTTCTCTCTCTCAAAAAAAAAAAAAAAAAAAAAAAGGGAGGGAGTGGGATGCACGGTCTACAATTCTAGGAGTCTCAAAAGATTCTCAGACTATTTCCTCATTGCACAAATACTAACTGGCTGGGAGACGGCTTCCTGACACAGGCGGCACCCGCCCTTGGAGAAGGGCCGCTTCTAGACGGGCGTCCAAGACGGCAGCCTCCGCCGTGTGGCTGTGGAGCGCGTGAAATGCGGCCCTCGCCTTTGAGGAACTGAACTTCTAATGTTGTCATTTTGATTAAGTTTCAGCAGCTGCATGTCGCCTATGGCCTATCAATCAAGGCAGACCTGGGAGGACTACTCGGGCATTCCTAAGTGCCAGGCACCCATTGTAAGCACTTTCCAGGCCTTAGTTCATTAATTGACTAATTACAGTATGTATGTCACAACGACCAGAAAGGCAGGTACTATTATTGTTCCTAAGTCACCGGGCCCATCATAAGAGCCCTCGTCTGTTGCGTGGACTAAAACCTCCAAAGCTGGGGAAAAGAGGAGATTAGAACTGTCCAGGGGAGGTGAGGGACAGCGGTGGCTTGCACTAGGGTGGTGGCAGTGAGGTGACACGAACGGCTCGGAGGACAGGCGAAGGAGGAGACACGGTGCTACTTACAAAAAGAGCGATCACAATCACCAAGCTCTGTCCTAAGGCCTTGTCATGTGCCGTCTCACCCAATCCACAAAACAACCCTAAAAGGGTGGCTGTTATTGCAACCCCCATTTCACAGATGAGAAAACTGAGGCAACAGGGAGCTTAGGAGACCTTTCCAAGTCCTCACGGTTAGCAGGTGGCTGAGAACTTCTGAGAGTTGACCTCCAGAGCCTCTCTGAGCATTTACCAGGCCTGGAGTGTGGCGGGAAGGAGGGGCACGCGGTCAAGGTGAGAGGCCACAAGGTCTGGGGAGGGACCGCACTGTGCGCCAGAAAATGAAAAAGGTCAGTGTGGCTGGAAGAAGACCAAGATGAGATTGGAAGAGCCACAGGTGCCATGGTAAAGAACCTGTATTTTATTCTGGGGTAATGGGGAGCCACAGAGGGTCTTTGAGCTGCAGAGGGACTCTGTATTCAGCTTCCCAAGATTCCCTCTGGCCGCTGTGAGTAGGTGAGACTAGAGGTTGGAGGACTAGAGAGGAGGCCAGAGCAGGGATTCAGGCCCGTGAAGATGGATTAGGGATGATGGCCCAGAGGAGAAAGAGAAGTGGGAAGATTTAAGAACACAGAGAAGTGCAGGACCTGGCCTCCTTCCCTGAGCACCTGTGGGCTGCCTCTGGAAGGACCCACCATGAACTGGTGTCCGCAGTTGCCTTGGGGAGCAGTGACAGGGAGCCTGAGGCCCTGGGGAGGGCAGGGAGAGTGACTTTTCACTGCATACCCTCTGGTACTGGGACTATTTTATAGAAAGAAAAAGAAGCCAAGCCCTGGCTACGTGGCTCAATTGGTTGGAGCCTCATCCCATACAACACAAGGTTGCAGGTTCCATCCCTGAGGCAACCGGTGCTGCTCTCCGCAATGCTTCCCCGCTCCCCTGTCCCCCACCCCAATCAATAAATGTATCCTTGGGTGAGGAATTTAAAAAAAGGAAGAAGACGAAAGAAGAAGTTGAAGCTAATGGTGAGCCCTAGCTGGGTCTCAAAAGTGGGATGAGGGGCATGAAGCAACACCGGACCCCCCCTCCGAGCCCAGCCACGGTGCCTCCCATTTCCCCTTCCTCCAGATGAAGCAAGACGAAGCTGTTTAGCAATGGCAGGTGCTAAACCCCAGACCTGCCTCACCTGGCCCCAGGCCTCGGGACGCATGTGCGCAAGGGTCCCCCTCATGTAGCCTGGATGGGGCCTCGCTCTGACATTCACAGAGTCCATGGGACAGCCTGGTGCTGCCACCAGCCACCGAAGGACCAGGGCTGTTAAATAGGAGGTCTCACAGTCTGGGCGGTTCTTGCTAAATGCTATTCTTACTAAATGTTAAAATATAGCACAGTATTTTGCAGACTGGCTGCAAACAAGACAAGCTTGACAGAAGGGATAAGTGTAGCCAACTGCAGAGAAGAAATCAATATGTAATTGACCAAAGAGTGTACAGAAGCCCCATGGCCAAGCCACCCACCCAGGAGGCAAAGCTTGGGCTATAAATCCCCCATGGCCTTTACTTGTTGCAGGTAAATAAAACCACATCTCATTCTTGAATAGAGCACCTCAAGTGGCAGACCCCTTGAGTTCAGGAGGAGGGCCATCTCTGCCGCTGCCTCAGTTTCCCTGTCTCTACAATTCAGAGCATCTGAATGGCCAGGTCCAAACTGGCTCTTTCCAGCCTCCCTGCCTTCGCTCCTGCCACTCCCACTGCGCAGGAGGCCTTTCCTGGGTCGTCCACTTGAGGAAGAAAGCCATCTTACGAGACGCAAGGCACCAATTCTCTGCCCTGGGGAACTTTTGGATCTCAGCCCCATGGCCTTGCAGAGGTTCCTTGATAATCTTACTCCTTAGCACGTCCCAGCCCAGCAATGGGAGAGTGAGCTGAGGGTGAGGGACGAAGGAAGGAGTTGGAAGACAGGGAGAAGGGGTGAGTTGGGGGTGGGGGTACAGGGGACAGAAAGGAGAGAGCAAGGGTTCCCGTACCCGCTCCCCTGCTAGACTCACCATATTTAGGTTTCCTGAGTTCTCCGTGTCCTCCACTGGGCAAAACGTCCTCCTGCCTGAAGGCTGTGGTTTTTAAAAGCCCAAAGGGAGGGCACAGATAGCCTGGGAGGAAATGACCTATCTTTCTCCCCTAAGAATCTCATTGGTCTGCACACTGGGCACCCCGGCTGGGCTCCTGGGGAGCAAAGAGGGGAGTCCGAGAAGGGAGGTCAGAGCCCAGAAAACTGAGGAAGTTCCCTCCCACTCAAGGAGGAAGGAGGCCGGATGGATGTGTCACCTGCAAGATGATGAGATCTCAGTTCTTGTCATCCTGAAGGAAAGATTTCACTCAAGAGACGGAACGCAGTAAAGCAAGCAAGAATGCATTGGCCACAGCAAAACATACTCGGATGGGGCGTTTATGGAAGCTGGAGACAATGAAACAGGGAAGGGCTTAGCACAGAAGAAACGACAGGAGAGCCCAGGTGGGGCTGCCTTAGCTCCCTGGGCAGTCAGAGAAAAGGGGGCCTCGGGGACATGTGCAAGGGGTAAACCCGGGAGGAGCTGCCGCTGCCCACTGCTCCCCTGGTTACAAGTCCTTCAGAATTTAGGCGATGCGTCCCAGCAAGGGAAGAGAAGGTGGAAGGGGAAGGCGTGGCTGGGAGGGAGGAAGGGAGAGCGCAGGCTGGGACCTTTGTCCTGGGAGTTTTTCTTGCTCTTTTGTAGGCAAGGAACCTTGGGGAGGCGGGGGTCTCAGGAGAGAGCTTTAGTTGCCTGTTCATCAGCTTTCCAGGTTTCCGGTCGCGGTCTCCACTGATTGGTCGGCGCCAGGGCAGGGGGTCATTAGTCCAAGTCGCCGGTCCTAAAGCAGCGTTGATTTCGCTTGTCTGGTTTGGGAGCTTTTCTGGGCCTGGAGCCCAAACACAACTGAGGCCTCGATGTTATCCTGAGGGAAGCAAGGTTAGGGGGTCTAAACTGCATGACCAGCGCCATGCTGGCGAGGAAGGGTTACCCTGGGGGCGAGGTCCTTGTTTTCCCAGTTTTGCCCATTTCTAGGCACCTGGAGCTTTCCGCCCTGGGGACCTTCTGTCCTGGCCCATCGCCCTTGCTCTGCTCTCGTCTAACTGCCTATTACAAAAGAGATGCCTGCCCTGCCCTAGATTTAGCCCCTCTCTGGGCGTTGGTTTCCCCCGTTGAGACCACCTCTCTCTCGCCTCTGAGAACCCCTGGCTTAACACCCGCCCCCGACCCTCCGTGAGGTACCGGGAAGTGGAGGTGATGAGCCCAGTCTCCCAACCAGGTTGCTCGGGGGCCCAAGAGGCAAAACATGTGTGTGGAGGTGGCCCTGTGCTTGGCGACTGTTAAATCGTCCTCCCTGGAGCTTTGAGGTTGACGCGCGCACGCGCGCGCACACGCCAGGCGGGAACCATCCTTCCCAGCCTCGCTCTGGGTTCTCGCGGAAATGTGCTGGAGCCTGGGTTTAGCCTAAATGAGTGTCCTGTTGCTGCTGGCACAAACCGCCCCAAACCACAGTCTGGAAGCGGCGGCCCAACATCAAACGGTCAACAGGACGACGGGCCTCTGCAGGCTCCAGGGAATCTGCCCCTGCCTCTTCCAGCGTCTGGTGACTGTCAGCATTCCGTGGCTGGTGGCCATCACTGCAGTCTCTGCTTGTAGGGTCACATCTGCTCTCCTGCTGTGTGCCTCAAATCTCCCTTCGCCCCCCTCATATGGGAACCCTTGTGATTATATTTGGGGTCCACCCTGGATAATTCAGGATTATCTCCCATTCCAAGGTCCTTAACTTAGCAGTACAGTCGCTTTTGCCACATAACTTCATGCCACAGGCTCCAGGAACTAGGATGTGGCATCAGTGGGAAGTTCTCTTCCGCCCACCCCAATGAGCGGGGGCGTGATGAGGACAGACGCACTTTCCCCACGCTTTTCTGCAACTCAGCAACCTATTACCCACATCTTTCCCCCACAAATAGTATTTTTCTATAGCAACCTCCGATTTGTAAAGATCTAGCTTTCTTTTCATTGCAAAGGTAATCCGTGCACCTCGCAAACATTTAAACAATCCAGAAATGTACTCCCGCCACACACACACACACACACACACACAAAGTTTGGAGGATATTCATTCAGACTTTCTAAAATATGTTTGGGATGGACATGCGTGTTCACGGTGGTCAGAAAGGCTTAGTTCCACTAAATGAAGCCATGTGTATGGTCTACATTGCCCAGCAAGGATTTTGAAAAGTTGGTATTTGAGGGTATTTGGTGCTGGTAGAAATGCGGGGTTGTTGTACCAACTCGGACCTCAAGGGGGCGCTGCGTTGAAGGCGACTCAGGAGGCCCGGCCACACCCCCTTGGTATTTTAGGATTTGGGAGCAAAGCTGTGCTCTGCTTTAAATCATGGTTTCTTAACATTTTCCTGCCCCGGATCCTTGGTGAAATTATGAACCCCTTCTCTGAATAACATTTTTGTGACTTTTTGTTTTTATGTAATTTCAAACTTAAAGGGAAGCTCTGGCTGGTGTGGCTCAGTGGATTGAGTGCTGACCTTTGACCCAAAGGGTCACCGGTTTGACTCCCAGTCAGGGCACAGGCCTGGGTTGCAGGCCAGGTCCCCAGTTGGGGGCATATGAAAGGGAACCACATATTGATGTTTCTCTCCCTCTCTTCCTCCCCCTTTATCAGGTTTGATAATTTGCTAGGACACCCAGAAGTCTCTAACAGCTCTTACGCTCATGGTTTATTACGTTGAAAGGACAGAGGTTAAAGTCAGCCGAGGGAAGCGGGGTGGGGGGGGGGGGCGCATGGTCCAGGAGGGCGCTGCATCCTGCACCCGGAGCTTCCAGTTGTCCTCTCCCAGGGAAGCCGGGGACAGCTCTTCCTCAGCAACAACGTCTGACGGCACAGATGGAGCATTGCCAGTCAGGAAGCTCACCCGGGCTTTGGGATCCAGTCTTTGCAGGAGTATGGTCGCGTAGACCTGGTTCAGTCACCAACGTGGCTGGTCTTGGTCTCCAGCCCCTCTGGAGGTCTAGCTGATACCACGTGACCCAAAGCCCTCACCCAAAGTCACAGTGTTAGACTGTCGGGAGGGGCCCAAAGGCCCAGGTAAGAAAACACTTTTATCAGGCAGGACGCTCCAAGGGGCTTAGCCATCACCTCCTGGGTGCTGAGAGCAAAAGTTGAGCTGTGGCCCTGGCCGGGTGGCTCCGTTGATCAGAGCATCGTACTGTGCACCAAGTGGTTGCAGGTTCAATTCTCGGCCAGGACACATGCATAGGTTGCCAGTTCAGTCGCCAGTCCAGGCGCAGACGGGAGCCAACTGATTGATGTTTCTCTCTCTGTCTCCCTCCCTCTCACCCTCTCCCTTCCTCTCTCTCTAAAACCAATGAACATATCCCTGGGTGATGATTAATAAAAAGAAAAAGAAACTGTATTTTTTTTCCCTTTAGCTGCTGTAACAAATGGCCACAAACTGAAATCAAGGCGAGGGCAAGATCTTGGCCTCGCGCCCCTCCTGCGTCCTCCAAAGGCTGGAGGAGAGGATCCATCCCGGCCTCTTCTGCTTCCGGTGGCACAGGCGCCCCTAGGCCCGTGGCGGCCACCGCTCCAGTCCCTCCCTGTCTCTGTTCGCACAGGCTTCCTCCTCTGCGTATCTGTGTCTCCTCTTTGGTCTCCGATAAGAACACTTGCCGTTGGGTTTAGGGCCCGCCTGGGTAATTTAGGATGATCGCATCTCAGGATCCTTAACTTAATCACATCTTCCAAGACTGTCTTTCCAAATGAGGTCATATTCACAGGTTCCGGGTGGAGGTATCTTTTGGGGATGACACTATGCAACTTACTACAGTGACAATGTTCCGAAGTTCCTACACCATTTTGCATTCCCACCAGCAGATTCTCTTATTTTAAGGGTCCTAAACTGAGCTGGGCTGGGGGAACAAAGGGAAATGGGTTGGCAGGGAGGTAGGGGACCTCCTTAGGTTAGCCATCTTTCAGGCTTTTAGCCCCTTGCTCCCCAAAGTGCAGGCCCCGACCCTGAGTCCCCATTCTCCAGCATCAGCATCTCCTGATGAACTAGACCCTGCATTTTATCAAGGCCCAGGTGATTCCCGAGCACCTTCATGGCTAAGAAGTGCTGGACTAGAGCATCGCTGGGAGAGGCTGGCAGCCCCCAGGGTGGATTATTTTTTAAATCCTCATCCAAGGATATGTTTACTGATTTTAGAGAGAGAGGAAGGGGGAGAAAGAGAAACATCGATGGGTTGCCTCACGTACATGTCCCCATGGGGGATCCAACCCACAGCCTTGCCCTGACTGGTGCAGCTCAGTGGGTTGCTGCTTCGATTCCCCATCAAGGTACATGCCTGGTTGCAGGCCAGGTCCCCGGTTAGGGGTGTCTGAGAGGCAACCCATCAACATTTCTCTCGCACATCGATGTTTCTCTCTTGCTCTGTCTCCCTCCCTTCCCCTCTCTCTAAAAATAAATAAACAAAATCTTAAAAAAGAAAACCACCTGTAACCTAGGTATGTGCCCTGACCAGGAGTCGAACCCACAACCTTTCGGTGTACAGGAGGATGCTCCAACCGAGTGATCTGGCCAGCGCCCGCCGTGTGAATGCGTTAAGCCCTCTCCTTTTTTAGGATCTATCTCTATCGTTTGATCATTTGCAATCAGCTGAACGTGAACGCACAGATGTTTTCTTGGACATAAGCAATTTATATAATTCTCTCATTTAAAACTGTTTAATATGCCCCCGCAAGAAGATAAAGTCTGATATAAAACACATGAGAAAATTAAAATAGAACAAAATCTAGAGAGAAGCGGTGGTTTTGCCTGAGTTTCCCAAAAGCAGACTCTGAGACAATGTCTTCGGTGACTATCATTTATTTGGGAGTCGATCTCTGGTCTCAGGAGTGGAGGAGAGAACTGAGTCAGGGGAGGGACAAAAGTCAGGGAAGGGTGTGTCGGTGAGCGGGGCACAGCTGGGCAGAGCGGGGGCTCCATCCTGCTGGGGGCCTGCTGAAGAACCAGCAAAACATGCCTTAGGGTGCCCCCTCCGCTTTTTCTTTTTACCCTCACCGGAAGACATGCTCTTTTTATTTTTT